ATTATGCTATGATATCAAGTATTTTTTATTAATAAAAGGTAACTAACGTTTAACTTGAAAGTACTATTTTTATAAATTTTAAGTTGTTTAAGGTAAGTTTTATTATACAAATAAAGTTTTGATTTTTTTTGTTTTAAAAGTAAATAATTTGTAACAATTTATTTATATTAAACAATGAGAATTTGATGAGATATGATAGTTCCTATTTTAATTAATAATATAACCATAGCTTAAAGGAAATATTTACTTTTTTTGATTCAATATAATATCACATATCAAGTATATTTATGGAATTTAACTAATATAAACCCAAATTTGATAGTAAATGTCCATACTTATTTTTTTATTGTTACAATTTTAAATTCTACTTTTTTTGATAATCAGGTTAGTGCGTAATAACTTTTTACGATTGATGCAAAATAAATCAAATAGAAAGCTAATATTTGCGCTAATTTAGATACAATCGACTACATATATTTAATCCGTAATATAAATCATTTATTTCGCAATTACCTTTTTATATCTACAATAAATTCATGAAACCAGCTAATCCTATCTTAACATATAAAATTAAAAAATAAAAATCAAACTACTTTATTAAAACTTTAAGAAAATGGAAAATAAAAGAAAGGTTAATCCTAAGGATTTCTTTGACACTTTGACAGAACTCGGAGTTGAATCTTATTTTGGGGTTCCTGATTCTTTACTTAAAGAGTTTTGCGCCTACGTAACAGATCATGTTTAGGGATAAAATCACATAATAACCGTGAATGAAGGATAATCTGTTGCCATTGCTTCTGGATATCACTTGGCAACTTAAAAAGTTCCTATGATTTACCTTTAAAATTCTGGAATTGGAAATATAATTAATCCTTTAATGTCTTTAGCTCATTCTAAGGTACTTATTATTTGTCTTATAATATTAATTAATCAAATTAAATTAAAAATAAATATGAAGAAGCTTAAATATTTTAATTTAACTAAAGGTTTATGGTTTCCCTATGCTCATCCTTGTTGGATGGAGAGGCGAACCTGGAGTTAAAGACGAACCACAACATATGGTGATGGGTGAATGCATGGAAGATATGATTAAATCAACAAAATGCAAATATTTCATTTTGAGTAGAGATAATTATGAAGAAGAACTAAAAAAGGCTCACTAAATTGCTCTTGATGATAACTCACCCGTTTTTCTTGTGGTAGGAAAAGACTATTTCAGCAAGTACAATTTGCTAAATATAAAAACTAATTCTTACTAATTGAACAGAGAAGAAGCGCTAGAACTCCTACTAACAAATCTTTAAGAAGGAATTTTTGTGGGTAAGTATTGAATTAGTTTAATTTGAAAAAGACCAAAAATTTTAATTTAAGTTTAAAATAGAATTTTGATTTAACAGATAGATATATAAAAATAATAATTTAATTTATCTAAATAAAAGGTACAACTGGGTTCCTCAGTAGAGAATTGTGTGAATTGAGAGAAAAATTAGGACATAAAACAAATATGGACTTTTTAACTGTAGGATCCATGGGATATGCAAGTAGTATAGCTTTAGGCATAGCACTAAATTAAAAGGAGAAAAGGGTATATTGCTTTGATGGAGATGGAGCTGCTCTCATGCATTTGGGTTGCATGAGTATTGTTGGCTAATTAAAACCCAGTAATTTAGTTCATTTCTTATTTAATAATGAATGTCATGACTCCGTCGGTTAGCAACCTACTTGCGCAGATGAAATAAATTTCCCTAAGATTGCATTAGGTTGTGGTTATTCTTAAGCATTTAAAGTAGAAACTCAATCTCAAATAGAAGATATTATTTAATAAATATTGGATCAGTAATCACAATAGCAAGGTGCAATATTTATTGAAATTAAGATAAAACCAGGAGCTAGAAGTGATTTAGGAAGACCTAAATAATCTGCTACTCAAAATAAAATATAATTAATGCAGTATATACACTCTCAAAGTTGAAATTCATTATCAATAAAATAAATAAATAAAAAACTAACTAACTAACTAATATATTGTAAATAAATACATTTTATATATCATACTAATCAACTACTAATTCTTTTAAAAGATTTAAATTAATAAATACTGTAAATTTAAAAGTTTTAATTAAATTTTTCCAATTTTACTATATTTTTTATTTATTATTATGCTGATTTTCTATTTATTTAAAATAAAAAGAAAATATGGAAAACAAAACAATTTTTTTATTATTTGTTCTACTAGAATAATCTTTAAAATATTGACTTTGTTTTTGTTATTTTTTAAATTTGTGTAATTAATATCATTTAAAATTTTTAAATAGAACTAATCGATGATTGATTAAATTAAAATAAATTTTTTTATAATTTTTTTCCTTTTTTACAAATAAAAAAGAATACTATATGCAATAAATAAAATATTTAGATAGCAGATAGAATTTAGAACTAAAAATAGAAATCCATTATAAATTAAAATTGCTCTTTTTTAAAAATAAATTGATTATATTCTCATTTTATTTTTATTTATTTACTTATTTTAATTTGAGCTAATTTTTTTTATTTAAAATTTAAAAGTAAAAAATAACTTTTGTACTTTAAAATTAAAAAACAATACTTACTATTAGAAAGCTAAAAATCTTATACTTTTTACTATTTTCTTTATATATTTAAATTAAGAAATAATTGAAAAGAAAATTTAATATTTTAATTTTGAAAAATAAGTATTTAGGTAAAATTTAATAATCTTAATTATATTTATTTTTTTATTTAAATTTGAATTATATTTTTTATTTAAAAAAAATCTTAAAATATAAAATTTTTAACTTTTTAATAGAATTGAATAAAAAATAATAGTTTTTAGCATTTAAAAATAAAATAAAACTACTTTCTAAGTTAAATAGATAATCAAATTAAATTTTTATTAGAATGATATAATAAACAGAAAATAAATTAATTTTAATTAATAAATATATTTGCTAGAAATTAGACATTAGAAAATCATCTTTATATAAAAATAATGTTAATAATATAAATAATTAACTAATTAGTTATAGAATTTATTCACTTATTAAAATAAAATACTCTGATAATAGAAAAAGGAAAAAAAAGTAAAAATATAATATTGAATGTATAAATAAATCAATTAAATTTTAAAGAATTATAATTTTTATATAAAATTTTTATAAGTTTGATTTTTATTTGAGAAATTTAAATACTTGATTTAAAAAATTAGATTAATTTCAATAGTTTATTCTATCTATATGAGAAACTTTTAAATTTTGTTAAATGACAAATAAATTTCAAATGCATTTTCATTTAAATGGATTTACGGGAAATTTAAAAGTTTTTATAAATTTTTATCATCAGAAACATAGTTATCAAAAATTTAAATAATCTAATATTTTTTCTGTTGAAAATATCAAAAATATTTAAAAATAAATTAAAGGATTAAGTAAATGATAGATTTATTGGATCTACCAACGGAATACGAAGTTAAAAAGATTTACCTTAACAAAGGAACCAACATTTCAACTATCCTTTAAGAGAAGCCCTAGTTCCCTATAATCATCAACCTTATATCATTTGATGAAAAATCGTACACTTTGAGTGTACATTATTACTTAATATCTAACATCATTTATTTTTCTTTAAAATCAATTATTTTCATCTTAAAATCTTATTTAATTAATCAAGTTTTTCATTTTATTTTTAGTTTGACTCTATAGAAGAGATCTCAGAAGGACTTAATTCAGCTTGCCTTAGTATATCTAATGGAAGACCTTACATAATCAAAGAGAGCAACACTGAATAGGCAAATTACTATAGATCTATAGAAGATTTAGAATATGTATATTAGAATGGTATTTATCGCCTCTTAAGAGACTAAAATGAAGTCTAAAATATTTGTAGTAATATTTGTAACGTTGATGAGAGCTTTTTGCGTAAATATGAAGAGCCATTCAAAATTGGTATTCATCTTGAAGTACAAGCTGCGTTTAAGTAGATGGATTAAGGTGAGTTCTTCTACAAATGTTCACATACAAATGGTAAGATACAGTTCATTTACATGAGAATTGACTAGAGCGCGAACTAAATCCAATATTATTCCAGAAAATAAATTCTGAAGAGAATTCCTTTCAGCTCAATTGTTGCTATTAAGTTTGGAGTTCATAGCGATGCGATTAGGACTTAATTCAAAAATAGGTTCTCCGATACCTCTTTGGTTATCGTATACAAGAATGAAGAGAGTATTTTTAGTAGCTTTTTAGATGATAAAGAATTGCATTTGACATTTAGGACAGAGAGATAATTTGACTTGTGGGGTACTGGTCTAAAAGCATTGCAGTTAATGAATTCTTCAAGAGATATATCTAAAAAGAATTTACTTTGGCATTCAAGGTTGTTTAAAAGATTCTTTAATAACTAAGAATTTTAGCTTATTGACACTTTTTTTAACAACTCTGAGATTTATAATAAACATCTTTAGGAGAGTATCACATATGAAACAACTCTATTAGACCGCAGAATCAATTTTTGCTTTGAAAAGTAGTAAGATGAGCTAAAAGCAGAGTACGCTACTTTTGAAAGGCTAATTAAGAATAAATAAATATCTATTGAATTATCAAAATCTCTTCCTATTGCTGTTGGAAATGTCTACAAAGCATCAACAACTATGAAAAATTAGATAATTTAAATGAAACAAACGATACATAATCTATAATAAACCAAATCCAATAAATCAAAAGAAGTTGACTTGCTCGATTTGAAGGAGTCAAATAGCAGTGAAAATGCAGACAAGGAAAACAAAGAAAACAACACCAAATAAATTTCTTCAAGGACTAAGTAAATAAATTTCTTGTATTATGAAGCTTTTAAGTTTTAGTATAGATTGCATCAGTCGATTTCTTTTATATCTAACATCAATAAGAAACTAGCTGATTGATTTTTCTTAATGTTTGTTATATATTTGATATTTGTATAAAAGTTATACAAACTCTAATACACAAAAATTTGTTATATGTACATTTTTTATGAGATTTGTTCTTTGCTTTTAGTGATTAAATAATTTCTTAAAGAACCAAATAAATAAATTTCTAAAATTATGAAGCATTTAAGTCTTAGTATGAATGAATGCATCAGTTGATTTTATTTATTTCTAATATAAATAAGAAAAAGTAAATAAATAAATTATTTCTTAAATACATTTTTAGCGTTACTTATAATTTTACGCTTGTTTAAAATTTACTAACACTCTAATAAAGAATTGTATGCACATTTGCTATCTGGAATTTTTATTTTGTTTTTAGTAATTAAATTTCAAATTTAATTAGTAAAAATCTTATTAATAATAAAAAATAACAGATAAGAATGTTTCAATTCTGCGTCTTGTAAGTTAAATCAAAAATATATTTTTCAAAATTAATCTCAAAAAGAAATTAGCAAAAATAATGAAAGAAAGAAAGAAATTGGCTTTCTTTGGCTTGTTTTGTTTTTTTTAGACTTTATTTGCATAAAAATATACAAAAAGTTATTATTAGTTGAAATAAGTTTTTTTTAACAAATAATATAAGAAATAATTTAAATTTATCATAGTTAGTTAGATTTTAATACAAACTAAAAAAATAAACAAATATGAAGGCACCAAAAAATTAAAACAAAAAAATACTTATGAAAGTATCAAATTATAAGTATGAATTTTCTTAAGTTTGAGAGAGAAAATCATAAAGAAAATGATAACTTTTATCTTTTCAAATAAATACTAGCATTAGTGTTAAAAAATTATATTTGCGTGAAAGATAGTTGAAAGCAAAAATAATATCAATAAATATTTGTCAATATTTGGTTCAATGAACTAATTTGCTAAAATATTTATTTTTACATAAAGACAATATTATTATATATATAAATAAAATTATTTTAAATATTTACTTTACAACTCTTAATATATTTTTATTCACAAAACTTTAGTTTAAAAAATTTTTTTCTTTATGTTTCAATTAGTAAATAAAAACTCAATAAATTGAAAAATTATATTTTTGTTTTGTTTTTAAATTTGATTGGCTGACCTTCTAATATTATGTATGAGTTAAGTAATAGCTGATTAACTTATCATATACTTCGTTGATATGATAAACATATATATTAACAAGGAATTTTTTTATATTACTTTAATTGAACTATTATTTTGGTTGCGTTTTTAACAAATCTAATTATTAAAAAGCAAAATAACTATTATATTTATTTATTATTTTTAACATACTTATTTTTATTTGCAGAAGAGGATAATATTATTAGTATTTTAAATTTATAAATAGCAATATTTTTTATACATATTTATTAATTTTTCATTGGTTTATCATTATTGAAAGTAAAAATCAGTCGCATGTAAGCTTTTTTTATTTTTTGTAATAACAAATATGGCTCAGTAAGAAGTCACAATCATTTTCATAAGCAGTAATAATTAGAGATATAGATTTTAAGAGCTGTTCTTTGTTTTTTATTTTAGAATCTTTAATCCAAAAATCATCTGCATTTTGCAAAAAAAACAAGAAAATATTCTTCAAGTTGGGACTGGTTAATAAGTTCTTTATCTTTAGACTGAATCTACCACACCCTTTTAAATTCTAATACACTCTCAAGGCTATATAAGAAAACTACCATTTGTCTTTAGTTAGGGCTTCATATATTTTTTATAGCATAGTATCTTTGAGTGTATGTATATGCCTGTAGAAAGCATTTATGATGTTTTTATAAATATTTTACTTGGATTTCTCTAAAAAGAGTTTAATATCAACCTACAATAACTCATTTTATTCTTCACTAACGCCATCTAATTATTGATTAATATTAATATTATAAAGCATACATTCAATAATTGATTTTTATTAAAGTCATACCATTAATTTCGTTTTTATTGACCTATGATATATTTTCAGACTCTGGCTCTATGCTTATCTCATCGCATTTATCATAAATTTCTTCAATTTTGACCTTAGAGTTAAATCTGAATAGAGACATATAATTATTATACTACTATATCTATCTTATTTCATGTTTATCAGCATCATCTATCATCCTATAATTGCATCTATCATTCTTGGAAGAACCTCTTTTCCCCTTATTTTACTTAGATGCCCTATATTAAAAAAATAAGAAAAAGTTAGAGTTATCAATGTTGTTGTTGTGATTTGTATTTTAAAGAGGTTTTTATTCTTTGCAAAGCTTTTTACCTTTTCATTTTGACTGTTTTTATTAATTTGTTTGTTGACAAAGTTTTAATATTCAGCAATTATAATTTAATTTATGTATTAAACATTTATATATTTTTCATTAGTTAGGTATATGAAATTGAATTGATTTGGACATGAATAATACGCTTATATATAAAGAGTTATTTGTTGTTGTTCTTGGTACTAAGTATTCTTCTAACTTAGAATTACTTGAATTTCTTATAATTAGCTAAATTTCATTTAAGTTTACTTGCCCTTAAAAAATAAATACAAAATACATAGATTTGATTTTAGGTTGATTGATTGATATATTATAAAAGTAATAACTAGTTAATTATCTCTTTTCAAAAACTAGTTATTAAAAAAATTTTCCTTGCCTTTTGCCTTAATTTACAATTATTATTTGAAAATTTTTAGAAATTAAACACAGCTAGTTATCTATTTAAAATTTATACTTTACAAATAATAAATATAATTAATTATCAATTTTTTCCAATAGAATAAATTGGACAATTATTTCAATCTAATTTATATTAAAAACTTGCTAAAAACAAAATTTTCTATCTTAAAGTTTTCTTATTGCTTAAACAAGCGGCGTGGAAATTTTTATAAAATTACTTTGTACAAAAGGATATAAAACACTTATTGGAGATAATTATTTTGTTTAATTATTTCTCTGTCTAAACTGATGGCAGATAAACACTTAATTATGATTTAATAGCATATTAAAGATAATACTTTTATTAAATATGAGGAAGATAAAATTATACAATTTTTTCACTCTATTTTATTCATATTTCTTTAATATGATTTTTTTATGAAACACATTTACTTGAATATGCAATTAGAATATATAAACAAAAAAAATAGATATCATTCATAAAATTATTAACTTGATAAATGTATAACTCTATACGTGCGCGAAACAATAAATTTAACAAAATTAGGCTTTAAAATATTGCTTTTTTATCCATAAAAATAATAAATAATTTATAAGTGTTTGATAATTTTGATATTTTGAAATAAGTCATACTAACAAGCGATAAAACTACAAATTTTAAGCCATATAAATTAATATTATATCTATTTTATTCTAGTATTAATCCCTGAACGTGGAAGTATATTAAATTTGTGGTGAGCATAAGTAGATCAAAATTTAAATTAAAAATAAATTTTTCTTATTAACTTATTTAAGTAATATGAATATGACTCCGGGGTTTTTTGTTCTTTTGAGAGTTCAAAAATTATGTATTACCAATCATTCAATTAATCATTCGGGGTTTTCAAGATCTTGTAATTTAAATAAATTTCGATTGAGTTAAATTAATTATAAGCAGACTCAAAATTATTATTATTATTATTATTAAACAAACTATTTTTTATATATTTGTTATATTTCTTAAAACTCCATGTCACGCTTATTGATGTTTCTAAAAGTTAATGTCTGAAAATGAAAATGAAATTCGTATTTTATATTATTAAACTAAATTATTTCAAGTTTGATTGTAATTTTCCTTAAATTTATGAATTTATTTATTGAAAAATAATAATAATTTTTAAAATTTTTTATTTATCTAAAAATTAATGATAAACAGACAACGCACATATAAAAAACTTTTCAATAAAACTCGAAACAATTTCCTTAATAAAAATTATAATATAAAAAATACTCTTTAAAATATCTTTTCACATAAATTTTGAAATGAATTTTTTCAGAAATATGAAAAATACAAATTTTTTAGCACATAAATTTTGTATTACAAAAATAAAATTAAATGTTTGAAAATTTTTATACTTGTATGATGGTCATAGAGTTTAATATTTGATAAATTAAGAAAACTTTGATATCACTTCGAGCTAAATCAATAAAAATATTTTTTAAAATAAATCGAAAAATAAATATTTAAAAATTATTAATAAAAACAGAAAAAACTGAAATTTATTTGAAGTATGATCAAATTATTTATTTACGAATTCAATTCTTATTTAATTATTATTTCTTTACTTTTATTTTTTTAGAATAATATAAATATGTTTATTTTAAAAAAATAGATTGTATTGTTATTTAGTTAATTAGCTAGTTAATTAATATGCAAATAAATAAAAATTCTATAAACATAATATGCATTTTTATAAATTAATATAATATCAAAAAATCTATTTTCTAAAAAATAAAATTAAAACATTAAAGAAATGTTTATCATATTTAATATAAGCTAGAGATAAATAAGTAACATGTGAAAAAAAAAAAATCTAATTAAAGCTAAGTAAATATATAATATATTATTAATAGATATTGATTGATATTTTATTTAGTAAGTTGTTTGAAATCAGTAGACAACAAAAAATAGCGGTAGTTATTTAATTATTTGTCTAACCTAAAGTAAATTAAAAAGAAACAATTGGATAGATTTTTACACATTTAAATACAAACAATCCATTTTAGTTATATATTAATTTAACTACTTTTGCAACATAGCTGTTTCACTTAGAAGATTTATTGTTTGATTTACCTTTCTTTTCATTAGCCTTCTTGATGAATTCTAAGATTTTCTTCTTTTCATCAACAGGACCTTCTTCACCTTCTTCGGCGAGAGATGCACTTTTTTCTTCCTTAGAAGCTTTGCCTTTCTTTTTAGAAACAGAACCCATAAGATTGCTTTCACCTCCAATAACTTTATCAAGACTTCTCATGCTAGAGTCTTCGCCATCTTCTTACTCAAAATCAAATCTTTGCAAGGCATCTAATTTTTCTAAGTCTTTCTCTTCTCTTTCCTTTTCGGCTCTAAGAGTTTTGATTTTTTCTTATTTGGATCTCTAATATTCGATGGTGTCTTACAAATTCAATTTAGATGCATATTCATTGTTATAAGGATTAACTAAGTCTTCCTTTATTGTTGAAATTTTAATCATTTCTTAAATCTTATTATCATTAATAACATCTAGTTCAGTCTTTCTACGAATTTCACTAGGTTGGAAGAGATAATCTCTTAAATCTTCATAACCAACCTTTTCATCAATTAAAATATCCTTTCCATAAACTTCATGTTCTTCGAACATTAAATCTTAAGCATGCTTCATACTTAATTAATCGATTTTGTATTTTGTTCTTCTCAATTTGTCAATAACAACCTAAAGTTTTTCTTCCTTTTCAGAAACATCTTCTATTAATTTTAAATAAGAAATGATTAACTATTATTAATTAAAACATAAATATCCAAAGCAGATGAAGAAATTTATTTATTTATTTTACCTGTAGGATCGGCATTCTTGATTTAACGACGGAGCCACTTTTCTTCAATACGAAGAATACGTTCATCATAAGTTTCAAATAACTTGTAAGTAGCAGGAGATTACAAAATTGGCTTCAAGAGAGAATCAGTATAAGCCTTTTCTAACAATTGCTCACCCAACTTTTTAGCTTCTCTGGCTCTTTCAGCTTATTCATCAGAAGTATCGTGAGTTTATTCATACGAAGGCATAGGTTCTTTCATTTTAAATGGCTAACCAGCAATTTCCATAATATCTTTAACATAAGTTCTTCTAAGATCTTAAACTTCCTAAAGCTTTTGCTTGAGATCAACAGCTTGGTCCATTTAATGTTCTTTGTGAGGGAATTCAAATTCTAAGTCTTTGAGCATCAATGCAATTTTAATATTAGAGTCTTTTTCAAGCTTATTTCTTAAGTTGGTATTCTTAACAGCTGAGAAATCAACTTCACCATCCTATTTAAGAACAACACCCAATCTTTCTAACTTTTTAACGAGATTTCTTGTTCTCTTCTTCATCTTTGCAGGTGAGTTTTAGATTTCAGAACGAATTTGGGAATCAGTTAAACCTTAAAGTCTATCATAGATAGCAGCTCTTTCATAATAAACCTTAAACATGTTTTCACTTCTTTCAATAAACTCTCTTTAAGTACTGACCTTTTCATCTTGTTTCTATTAAAATTAAATAAATTAAGAATATTTTAACATTTTTATATTTATATTTGCATTAAAAAATATGCGTATAGGATGGTTGATAAATTAATTATCCTCTGTCTATTTAATAGATAGATACACACACTTCAATAATCAGTACAAAATTAATAATATGATTGCCATTGATTCATATTAAGATCATTTTAAAATTAAGCTATGTTTTAAAAATAGTTTATCTAATTTAAGTATTTTAATTACAGTTATTTCAGGCATGCCTGCATTTTAAAATTTGAGAAGAACTCTGTTGTAAATATTTTCTTCTTCGGCGAAATCATCTTCCATATCTTTAGTTTTAAGTAGAAAAGTGTAAGAATTTAAATAAGAGGTAGATGTAAAATAAGAGATATATGAATCGAGTAAAGTGTAAAATTCGATTTATTCATTTAAGAAACCATCAAATGATCTAATTAATAAATACCTCCATCATCATTGATTTCCTTTTCAAAAATTTCTCTTTCGTGCAAATATTATTGAACATCACGTTTCATTCTTTGAACTTTCCAACGAGCTTCTCTTTCAGCCATTTATTAATAGAAGTTCATGAAAGAACGAGCTCTGTTGTTTATGGCAATACCACGAGTTAAATTATTTTAATCAATTTTTCTTTGCATACGATCTTAGAAGATTTTTTCAGTTTCTATAAATGCAGCATTTGCAGACATACCTCTCTTCATATATTCCTTCTACTTCAAAATGAAGCGTACAACATAATTAGCATAATTATCTTAACCACCATCTTTATCATACATTCTTCCAGAAGTATCATAACGCAAATCGGGATACTTTTAGAAGAGTACCTTGACTAACTACTTGTCCTATTTATCCCTGAAATTAACTTCTCTCAAGTCGGCCTTAGTAGGCAAGTATTGTTACCAAGTAGGAGGGAAAAGATGGAGCAATCTGTGCTCTTCCTTATAATCAAGTAAATTATACTTCTTAAAATATCTGACGGAATCCCACCATTCCATACGTGACCATTTTCTTAAATACATAGCTTTTAATTTATGTGTGTGTGCTTGCTATCTTTTATTTTATTTATTGCTTTTTAAGTTTTGCCTTTAAAATGATATTTCACCCTTTAGTTAATTAGCTAATGAAAAACGAGATGGTGATATTGATTATAAATAAATGTTTTTTCTCGAAATGAATTTTAAGTTTACTAATAGATTGATTGATATATGCTTGTATTTTTTAACTTTTTGTTGCCTTTGATAAATTTCTTTCCTTTTCTTAAGATTTTTATCTTTCTTTTTTAATTTACCTTATTAACACTTTCAAAAATCAATAACAAGCAGGATGGCCCTAAATTAAAATTTATATATACCATTTCCTTTTCTTCCAGAATATGTATCTTTTATATTTTAAACAAACAATATCTTAAACATTAAACAAATCTTTCTTTTTATCATTAAAAATAAAAATTATTTTTTTAATTTTAATTTTTACAAAACATAAAATTTGTTTTTTTTTTTTTTATTTAAATCACAACAAAAAACAGCAAAAATTGCAAAAGAATTCAAATCATTTTCCAAAATTAAAAATTAAAGACTTTATTATACATTTTTTGAATATATTTAAACAATAAACTTGATTTTCTATAGATTATTTTTAATAATATTTTCAATAAAATTTTAAATTAATTAATTTTTTTTATTTTAATTTGTTTTTTTTCGAATTAAATTTTATCAAAATAATAGATTTATTCTTCGCTTTTTAAAAAATAAAATATAAATTTATCATAAAAAATTGATTTCAGTTTATATTTTTTAGCTTTAAGATAAATGATTGGTTTTTAATATACTTAAATGCGAGTAAAAATGAATATGAAATGATGTATTTTGTTGTTTGAAGCTGTCTTATTAAAATTATGTTTTTTTTATAATCTATTCACTATTAAATTTTTGAGAAGATAAAAAGAGATTTTTATCTGCTAATATTATAAAATTATTAGGTTATATTCATGCAATGGATAGGATTAAAGATCTAATTCTAGAGCGAATCTAGCATAGTCATTAACTCAAAAACAAATGTGAATAAATTTTTGATTATTAAGATATATATCAAGCTAAAAAAGCAGAAAAGCTGCGCTAAATTAAAGAAAATGAACTTATAGAAGCTCTCTTTAATTTTGGATAGGCTTCTAAATGCGAGAGATAGCTTTTTGAAGTTCATAGTAGCGATGTAATGAACTCGTTGAATTATCAATTTAATTACAAGCCAAAAAATAGAGGACTCTTTAGCGATATAGCAGAAATGTATATTTTATTTTTTGACAGCATTTAGCTCTAGACTAGGGTTGAAGAAATTAGGATCATTGCTAAGTATAATCTATATTAAAATTTCCCATTTCTTTGTATGTTATTTAAGTGGTTAATTGAGATTTCGCGAAAAGTTTTTATGGATATTATGGCAATTGTAAAAACTAATGCAGCAAGCTGTAAAAAGAAAAGACCTAATAATTAATAGACGGCTAAATATGCTAATAATTTGCAGTCATCGTAAGAGCATCTCAAATCTGCTAAACTTGATCAGAAAAATTAAAATAATCTAACAGCCACCACTGCTTCTTAAAATACTTAAGATTCCTTTAATAATGAGTCTGAAAATAGAGTTAATATAAACTAAATTAAGTTAAATCCGCTGAGCTAAGAAGTAGATTATAACAAGAAAAAATTAAATGAGGATGCAATTTTAATGAAAAAATAAATAAAAAATGGATAAAAGGAATAAAATTTACTATAAAGTACCAAGATAAATAAAGAAAACTCTTGTGAAGGCAGTAAAAATGCTCACTTAAATAATATGAATCATACTACAAGTGGATTAAATATATAGCCTAAGAGAGATAATTAGTTTTAATAGCATAAAGAAAATAGTTCGGTAGATAAATTTACTAGTACGTTGCCATTCTAATCAGATTATTCCCCAAAATTACAAATATAACAAAAGCCGAGCAGTTTGGCATCAAGTAACTAGAGAAGATCTCTCAGGATTACTAATAGCTACACTCACAAGCATAGTATGGATTATACAGATATATAAGTGTAAGATAAAGATATTTCTCATCTAATGAGTGCAACTTAAAACTTAGAAAACTTCAATTTAAGTGATTTAGAAGATGACGATGAGGATAATATAGAAGATGAGGATGATTCATAAATGGTTGTAATTAGATAAACTCAATCTTAAATCTTTAAAAATGGAGATAAGTTAAACAATACCAATTTAATTTGTTAAGACAGTGAACAGGATTAATCTTCTATAAATAATTTGGTGTCATCAAATTTTAATAAAACTTAATAGCAAAAAGATTAAACAAGTAATAGTTAAAAGTAGAAAGTTGCAAATGATTTCTTAAAACATTTGGGGAAGCCTAATATTGAAAAACTCAAAAGAAGAAAAAGAGACATGTTTTTCAATAATATAAAGGAATGCCTCTACGATGTTGAATTCGTAGTTCCGAAATGCAATGACTATTTAATTAATTTTTATATTAAACTCATGTTTCAAAGAAATATATAAGTGAAAACTAGTATTGATGCATACAAAGTAAAATATTGGTAGAAGTTTAACAACACCTTTGCTAAACTAGATCCTGGTTTGATATACACTGAATAAGATAAAATAAACGCAGAAGAATAGCTGAGAGCTTCTTTGAATGAAAGTAGCTTGCAGCAATAACCATTTGGAAGTTTAGATCAATTACAAAAATCTACTTCATAATTCATATAAAGCAAGAATGATTAGTCTTTAACAAATCAGATAATTAATAATCTTGGAAATTAGCAAAATAAAAGAACTTGTTCGACTCTTTCACCAATAAACCGTCCAATAGGTTCAGACAAAAAATCATCAAGAATTGTAATAGAAACAAGTAAAAGCAATAACTTTACTAACCTCAGTTAAAATGTTTAAAACAATTTAAATTCTGGCGAAAAGGATAAAAAAAGATTCAGAACTTACAGCTATGTTGGTAACAACTCTGTATAAGTATAGCAATTACAATTATACTAGCAGCAGTATTAGCAAGAAAAATCACTATCCCCTCTTTCTTAAAATATACCTTTCAATCAATAGTTTAGCAAAGAATTTTAATAACAAAATTCAGTACAGTAATAAGTACAATTGCTGCCTCAATTCCTATAAAGAAATTCACCTGAAATAAGAAGATAAAATATAAAAAATAGTAAATACACTAACTGCATCATCCCAGCTGTAAAAAACTTTGATACTTCAGAAATAGAACCTAATTCTTTCAATGCTAATCATATATTTAATACAAAGCATTCAAACATACTCAAAGGCAAGCAATCAAAATTTTAAAAGAATCTCATGATGATGAAAATAGAAAAAACCTTCAATTAACAAACCATGACACAATTTTAGCAGTTTAATTCTGATTTAAATGGTAAAAAAGGCGAAGAAATAAAAAATACTAATATGATATAAAATAACACTTTTTTTCACCAAAATTCTAACATTTTCAAAAAAATTCATACTAACGATATAAGCCTATCAAATATTATTATGACTACAGGGAAAAAAAGTTAGCAGTATTCAAATAATATCAATAACAATAATAGCAGTGCTTTAGATATAAATATAAATTCTCAAATATAAAACAACAATTCTGCTGGAGGAAGCAGTTGTATAATCTTACAATAAATGAATAAGACTACAAGTAACATATAAGAAACATTAAATAAATCTGCAACAAAAAACAGCAGTTTTCCTTTAAACCAATAAAATGTTATTTAAGAAGAAGAATTATCGAAATCACCTCATTTATATCATTTAAATAGAATGAAATACAGACCACCAAAAAATCCTAAGATTTTATTATAAAAAATAAATAATAATACAGAAGATTAAATTTCTTCAGCTAATAATTTTAATAATTTAACAAATTTATAAAATACACAATAAAAAAGTTTGAATCATGCATTGCAAGTACCTCTTTATAATAATAATAATTAATAATTTGGAATGCATGGTCCTATAATTACATCATTTTAAAATGATTTGATTGACTTGTAGACTAAACAACTATTAAAGAAACCTTAACAACAAAATTTACAAATAGAAAGTTTCAATGGTAATGGTGGTGGAGGAGTAACAGCTCTTAAAAATAGAAAAATTCTGACCTAACCTGAAGAAAATATAGCCATCTCGTCAAATGAAAAATTAAATTTATCTCTAACAAGCAATAATAATTTAAAATCTAGGTCTGCCTCTGGAAAAGCAGGTAAAGAAGAAAACATGATAAAGGCGCAAGCAAATAAATATAATTTACAAATCAAATAAAATTTATTAACAAGCTAAATAAATGGACCTTTAAATTAAGAAATTTTAAAGTAAATCGGAGCATACTCTATTTAAAATAACACCAATTTTAATAAAAATTACATCTAAAACAATGACAACTCAATTTTCCCTTTTTTAAAAGATTTGATTTCTCAACCTTAAGACAACATCCAAAAATACTTTTGAGAAATAAAATGAAGTTAATTTCAATATGTATTAAAATTAAAACCTTTTTATTAATTATATGATAAATCTCCTATATATTTGAAAATTTAAAGCAATTTATAAACTAAATTATTGTCTTATATTGACTATTTCTTGTTATTTTACTCAATTCAAATTAATTCCTTCCTTTTTCTTCATTAAAATATTTAATAAAATCTCATATTTTTATTATTTATATTTTTCCTATTTTATTATATTAATAACACAGATCTTCATTTCTAATTATTTTTAGAGAATATAACTTAATACATCAAAAAGCTAGTCTTTTTATTTATGCCATTTTTTGTAATTAAAAAAATTTAAATTTACACAAAAAAATCCTCATTTTGATTGGCGATTCTTTGCTCACTGCGAAGAGTTATGGTATATTTTCAGAATTTAAAAAAATAGTAGATTGAATTAGTAAGTATTATTTAAGAATATAATGTGTAAAGTTATAAATGTTAAGTTTGAAATATAAAATGAAATTAGTACATTTAGAATATTAATTTTTTAATAATTTAATTTGATATATTTAATTAATTGCTTTTAAGCATATTTCAAATGAATATAAAAGTTATCATAAAAGCTTTAATTAAATTTCAAATTTATTTTTTCACTAATTTTGTTGGTGATTTTTAAACAAATTTTAGAATCTTATGCTCATTTTTAATGGTTTTTATTTATTTTATTCGCTTTAATCTTTGCGAATATGAATATTGGTAGAAAATAATTGATTAGTATTAGTATTTTGGAATAAATTTTTGCAGCTATTTTATTAACTATAGTAAAAAGAATTAGCTTAATTATTACTTCTATTGCAAGTTAAAGTCATCAGTTTAGTTTAATCTTCTTCTAACTTAAAATTAATACTAGATTTAAGTTGGGTTAATTTGTTATTATTTTTATTATTGTTGGTATTGAATAAATAGCTTTGAGGGTTAGTATTTATTTCTGTATAATATTTAGCTTTCCTTTAAATATCTGTGAGAGATCCATTTTTATTTTATTTAACACTTAATTCTGGAACCTCCAATTTTTGAAATTCTATGAATTTTAATGTTGGCTAAGAAATTTATTTTTGAGGTTTATTTTTTTCAAGACTGGAATGAAAAATGATGCTTGATTACTTTTGTCTAGGGCTTGTTAATATGTTGATTTGGTCAATTAAATTTCTTTTTAGGTCATCTGAGCTATAGTCTATATAGTTGCTATTTTTGCTTTTCTTTTTCAAAATAGACCTTTTTATATTAATTCTTTCTTAATTTAAGCTATCATCTTGATACTTTTGCAGTGAAGTAGTCAATTTTTTTACTTGAGTCTTATTAAAAAAGTTAGAGACGAATTTACTGTTATCCTCAAACATACTCTTAATTTACTGATGGGTTGTTATTCTTTCTGGATTGTTAGAACTTGATATATTTTATTACTGCTATTTAATCTATAATAAGGCTTATTAACTCTATTTTATATGTACTGAGAATTTTTTTGGAGATTCAGGTAAAGAGTTTAAATCAGATTGGTAACTATTTTCAGCATTTAGACCTGTTTTTTCATTTTAATACTCACTTATATTTCTTATTTTGTTATTTAGGTAAGAGTTTAGCTACTTTTTTATAAAAATTTTTCAAAAATAAATAATAAACTTTATTAGATTACCTAGACTGATTTATTTTAAAGTTAAGCTTTCTGTTCACTAATGTTTTTTGTTGAGAAGGATTTTTTGTTCATCATAGTACTTCTGTTAAGTTAATCTTGCTTAGCTTCTTGCTATGTTTCCTAATTAGTAATAATTTTTGATAATTTAAAAATATCAAATAAAATCAATAAATTACAAGCATTTTATTTTAGTTTTCATCTATTTGTTAAAGATTAGCAGAGAATTCAAAAGGATTAACGCTTCTATCAGCAAAAATCAAATTTTCACTAAATAGAGATTATTTATAAGGGATTTTCTATGAAAGGATTTTTATTAACTGGTTTTTTCTTGCTTGAGTGGGAGTAATTGAAGGAGAATCAAAAGGAGTTACTGTTTAACTGCTAATATTCTAGCTTGATTATTCATTTTGTGTTGGGGATTATTCAGTCTAGCTTTAAAATTTACTACTTTAATATGTTATTGGGCTTTACCTTTAATTATTTATATCTTTTTAAGTGGGAACTTTAGGTTTTCTCCCATACTAGTTGGCCCTTTATTCAACAAGCCTTTAGATTTTATCATTAATTTATTGTTATTATTCTTCATTGACTATAAAATGAGTAATTGATTTTTTTGATCTCCTTTATTTATTTGAAAACTAATTTGTATCTTTTTAATTTTTGTCCATTAGCGTATAATCATGATTTATGTTAATTTCTTTTTAGCTTTTTATGATTCTATTACTTTTTTGGAAAGAGATTTATTCTTCTTATATTTGCTTAGTTACTTTCAACAAGTCTCTATCTTCTGTCAAGAATTGCTTAAATTTTTAAATTTATTTTTTTGCATTTTAAATTCTTACTTTATGCTAACTCTCTTTTATCGCTAAATGCTCTCTTAGAAATATGTTTGAATGAGACTCTTCTAAAATCTGCAAGAATAAATTTTTTTGAATCATTATAATTTCCCCGCTAGCAGTTGCACATTCTACAGAAAAGCTTCTTTTTTCATTATTTTTAAGTAAATCTTCTTCCCCAAAATAATCTCCTTGAATAAGTAAAGAAATCTAAGTATTAAAAAAACAAAATTTTAATAAATATAAATATTAGTTTCTTTCTGGTATTTTAAGTTAATTAATTGATGGGATCAAAATTATCTAACTATCTTACAATCATTTTATCTTAAACCAAATTAAATATTTATTTTTTTCTTTGGAATTTCTTTAAATGTAAAATTAAAACTTAATTAATGATCAAAAATATTAACCAAACATTTAATTTTTAAACATATAAAATTAATTAAAGCATTACTTAAACTGTAAGGTATTTTTGTTTTTTATTAGTGATCTTGGTTAAATCCTAATTTTGTAGAGATTAAATGCTGTGAACTTCTTCTTGATCAACCATGTGAGATATTTCTTATTTAACCTACAATATAATTGAAATAATTTATGAATTTACAATGAAACTTTTTGAGTATTTACTTAAAACTCTCCTTGTTTTACTATGTAGAAGTTCTCTGCAGCAGAACCTTACTTAAATATTATTTGTCCTTTTGCTGTACGGATATCAAACGCCTTTGAATAAATTTGTCGTAATAGTGATAAATTGATTTTCTAAAATAATGGCAGATTTTATAAATAGAGAAGCTTTTTGTTTAAGTTTTCTTTCTAAAAATTTTTTAACACTCTTAGAAATTCTTTTTTATTTAATACTGCAAAATGACATTTTTCTAAACAAATTATAGTAGCCATTCTTGGCGACTCATAAAGCAAAGCAAGTTCACCAAAAGAAAACCCTTTACCAAGCTATTTAACACAAATCATTTCTTTGCTTTCATTATAAATATATACTCCAACTGTTCCTTCAAGAATGATATAAAATTTGTCACCTGTTTAGTCTATAAAAAAAATGTTATTTATTATGCGTTAGTTACAACGCATTCATCATTAATGCTTAACGCAATATGCACAATTCAAAATTTCAGAAAGTTTCAAAAAAATATACAAACCAATAAAATAATAAATAAATAAGAAATGCTATTAACTGATTTCAAAAACAGTCTATTCTTCATCGTAGCTTTCATAATTCATATATGAGCAGCAGTTATCATGAACATAATCGTTTTCTTAATACTATTAAAAAAAAGCAATATCTTTAGTGAGCTCTTTGAGCATTTTTTTATCAGCATTATTTCTCTCCTTGGGTTCTTTTTAAAGAATCCTAATTATTTTCTATAATTTTTATGAATTTAAATACATCTTAAATATTTAAATCTACTTGCAAGACATTTTGGCTCATTATAAACTATGCACTTTTGTGAAGTTAATATTAAATTTACTTTCTTAATCAAAGTGTTTTTTTGTGTGAGTCTCTTATGCTAAGATTATTTGATATTAAAACTTAACTAAAAAAGTATATGTAAACTTAGTTGTGTTAATTAATTAATTATAAAATCTAAATACGAAAAATTTTTTAAGTTTTTTAAACATTCTTAAATGATACGCTTTTAATATTAATTCTACCATAAATTTTAAAATTGTTAATTTTCTACAAATTAAGTAATTTATTTGACCTAAATCTTAAATAATTTTTGGCTCTTTTAACTGGCTATATAAATATTAAAGCTATTCAAAATAAGCCAACATTTTTGGAGTTTACCAAAAAAAAAATAAATAATTTAAAATACAAGATAAAAATTTGGTAAACTCATACCAAATAACTATTTGTTTATTTTTAAACAAATTTAAGTATACTTATAATATAAATATGAGCTTAATTAATTAATAAATAGTTCGATAATTAATTAGTTATATTTAATGGACTTATTTATTAATGTGATAAAACATAAATTATAATAATATTTCTTATTTTAATTAAAAAATATATTTTAAATTTATAATAGATTATCTAAATAATTAAAAAAATATATAATTTTCTAAATTATTAAGGTGAAATTATTTTTATTTGAGTTAATTCAGATTTTTAAATATATTCATTAATCATAAGCAGTAGAGCTCATTGCATTTAGAATTTGCTATTTAATTTATTTATTTATTATTATATTTAGATATTTTAAATTGTAATTAATTTATTTAAAATTTACTTTTTAACTAAGAAAAATCAATAACATAAAAAAAATATCTTTAACTATATTTTAAATACTCACATTTATTTTTCTCTAATATTTAATGAATTAAAAATATTTATTGAAATATTATTGACTCAAAGTCAATCACTTATTTAGGTAATTTTAATACAAAATAAATTTTAAAAAATCTTTTACAAAAATTAAAAATATTTTTAGAATTAATTCTTGCATTATCCTTTATTTTTTTAGAAAATGTAAAATTAACTTAATTTTTATACCTAATTTATTTTTTTAGATAGGTTTTATCATCTATAAATTAATTCTACCAATATTTATATTTGAGATACCATTTTTATAACTTTTTGTAATATAAAAACTCCATTCTGAATTCTTTGTGAGGTCATTTTTTGTGCTTTTTAATATATAATTTTAGTATTACTCAATATGGTATTTAGTGTTTAAAAATAAATATACACAATATGCTAATAGAATAATCCATTATAAATTTTGAAAAACAAGAAATTTATGTTCACTCACTTACTTCTAGAGAAAATTTAATACCTAAGAATAATTTAGTTACTCATCTTAATGTATTCTTAAGATTAACATATATTGTTTTTCTACATCATGTAAATTATCTAAGAAATTTTGGTTACATAAAAAAGAGTAATTATGAATAAGAAATTAAAAAGAATAATAGAAGAATTTGGTCATATAAGTCATAATTTAAATTTGTAATAATTCGGATAAGTAGATTGAAATCATTCTCTTAAATTTCTAAAAATCTGATTACGTAGAAATACTAGACTGACACAAAACTAAGGATTTAATGTAAATTAAAGTACATCAAATAAATTAATCAATTAACTTTTTATTAATATCTATCTAATAATACGACTTTTCTTGTATTTTAAGACCTTTTAAAGAATATTTACAATTGAATTCTAATAATTGTATTTTAAATAAAAAAATTCAAAGATATTTATTATTTTGTGTAAAATGATCAACATAAAAAGAATTCTAGGAAAAAGGACTGATTTACTTCATTTCATTAATGGAAGTAGCTAACAGTCTCTTCAATAATATTAAAAGGCATCACAAGGCTTGTAGTTCCTTTCTGGATAGAGCAAATAGCCTAAAATTCATAACTAGAATTTTTACTAGTTTTCTGCAATGAAGCGTACATTCGATCTATTGAATGATTAGAAGAAGCTCAAAAGTGTCACCAACAAAGAAATTCTTCTTGCTAACTTTGAGTCAAGAGTCCAACTAAGATATTAGCTTTTAAACTCTCTCTTTTAGACTCTTCCCGTAGATTAAATAAACGAAACTAGTATGTTGATACCAATTTTAACCCATGCTTGTTAGAAAGGATTAGAATCAGGATTAAGCCCAGAAGAAGTTATTGATAAATTTTTCAAAGAGTATGATTAAAACTAAATCTATAACACTGAGCAAAAGAAAATAGACTTCCTTTTCCGCGTCGTTTAGTTTGTTGAAAGATAAGTTGTGCTGGTTGATGCTCTTGAAGATGCTAATTATTCATAAATTAACGATCTACATGGTCCTGAATCATTAGGTAATTTAATTGAAAGAATAAGAAGACACAATTTGGATGATGAACTCTTGAAATAGCTTTCTAGATTTGCTGTTAGAGTTGTACTTACTGCTCACCCTACTCAGTTTTATCCTAAACAAGTTCTTTCTATCATTAATGATTTAAATGAAGCTATTTAATCTAATGATATAACTTAAATCTAATATCTACTTTGGTAACTAGGTAAAATTTTATTTCTCCTAAATATTAGTTTAATTAATCAATTAATACGTTTTTAACTTATTTTAGCAAAAACTCCTTTCTTCTAAAGAGAAAAACCTACTCCATTAGACGAGGCATAGTTCTTAATTTAGTATCTAGAAAATGTATTTTATGATGCAGTTGGTACTCTCCAAGATAGGCTCAGAAAGGTTTTAGGTTCTAAATTCGATAAACAAAAAGAGTTTCATAAATTTTACACTCTAGGTTTCTGGCCAGGTGGAGACAGAGATGGAAATCCTTTTGTTAGAGTAGATTATTAAATTATTTTATAAAAATGAAAAAAATAAATAATAAAAAAAAAGGTTGAAACAACTAAAAAGGTAGCAAAATTACTTAGAACTTCCATCCTGAAATGTTACATCAGAGATGTACGCTAAGTAAAAAAGAGGTAATTAATTTATTTTAATTAAAAAATATAAAAAAGCTGAACTACTGAATTTAGAAAAGAAAAAATTTATGGCAAAAATTTATTCTTGTAGATTTTATTTTGAATAAAAAGAAGGGATTAAAAGCTATAGAAAATTTTTAATGCTCAAACTTCGCCAAATATTTAATTAAAATTTATAAAAAATTGTAAAATTACCAAAATAGACAAATTTAATAAATGCTAATTAAAATAGATTGAGTTTCAAAGGAATTTATGAGCTATTAGAAGAAATAGAAAACGACTTTGGTTCTAACTTCTCATATAAACCTTCAGTAAGCCTTGAATAATTGTATGAAAAACTTGACTTTATTAGATAAAAAATTATCACTGACCACAATGGATTATTTTTACCCATCTTTGAGAATTTCTAAAGAAAAGTTCATACATTCGGATACCACTTTGCTTCGATTGATATTCGTTAAGATTCTAGAGTTTTAGATAAGACCTTCAAAGCATTACAAGAAAAAGTTCCTTATATGCTCCCATATAACTTTGAAGAACTCCCTGTCTAATAGAAATTAGATTTATTATTGAGTCTTAAGCCTCTCAATACAGTACCCTAACTTGATGATGAAGTGTTGAATGATACTCTCTAAACTTTTAATGCCATGAGGGAAATATAAGAAGAAAATGGAGAATTTGGTTCCTACCGCTTTATCATTTCCAACTGTAGAGGACCTCTTGATGTTGCTAAGGTTTATGCTATGAGTTAGTTAACTGGAGGATGGTCTGGTAATTCTAAAATCGATGTTGTACCTCTTTTTGAAACTATCGATGATCTTAAGTCTGCAGACAAATCTATGAAGGAACTATTTTCTAACGGTATATATCAAAAACACTTAAAGTTTAGAAAAATGAGGTAAACTATCATGTGTGGTTTCTCTGATGGTACTAAAGATGGTGGCTATCTTGGAGCTAATTGGGGAATTTACTAAGCTAAAGAAAATCTGAGTAAAATATCTAGGGATTATGGTGTAGAAGCTATCTTTTTCGATGGTAGAGGTGGTCCACCTGCTCGTGGTGGTGGTAACAAGCACTTGTATTATGCTTCTCAAGGTCCTACTATAGGTATGAAATATTTTTAATTTTTTTCAATTATTTATTAAATTTTATATTTTAAATAGAAAATCATGAAATCCAAATTACTATCCAAGGTTAAACTATCAGCTCTAACTTCGGTGTTACAGATAGTTGTCTTCATAATTTAGAACTCTTAATGTCAGCAGGTTTGTAAAATAATGTCCTTGAAGACCCTAAAAGAGTATTGACACAATCTTAACGCGATCTTTTAAATGAACTTTCCGAGGTATCTTTAAAGTCGTACCTTGAATTTAAGAATCATCCTAAATTTATGCCTTATCTGTTAGAAAAATCTCCATTAAAATATTATGGTGAAGCTAATATTGGTTCCAGACCAGCTAAAAGAAGTGCTGGAGGAGAAATGAAGTTTGAAGATTTAAGAGCTATACCATTTGTAGGAGCTTGGTCACAACTCAAACAAAACGTTCCAGGGTTTTATGGTAATTTAAAAATTTATAATAAATAAAGCAAATTTCTTACAAATTTATCTTTTCTTAGGCTTGGGAACAGCTCTTAAAAAGCTTGAAGCAGAAGGAAGACTGAACGAAGCTGCAGATTTATATAAAGATAGTTTATTCTTCAAAGCATTAGTTTAAAACTCTATGATGTCAATGTGTAAAACTTACTTCCCCTTAACTCACTACATGTTGAAAGATAAATAATATAGTGAATTTTGGAATTAAATTTATAATGAATTCTAAGAAACTGAAAGATTGTTACTTCTTATCACTGAACAAAAGCAATTACTTGACAATGAACCTGTTATAAAATAAAGTATCAAATTAAGAGAATAAATTGTTCTCCCTCTACTCACTATTTAGTAATTTGCGCTTCAAAGAATTAATAAAGATCATCAAGAAGATCTTCATAAATCATATCAAAATCTTATCATCCGTTCTCTCTTCGGTAGTATAAACGCTACAAGAAACGCTGCTTGATTTTTACTTAATCAAAATACTTCTTATTTTTTATAAAGATGTAAAATCATTAAAATATTTATATTTCATTCATACAATATGTATTATTGCTTATTAGTTTGTTCTATTTTACTTCCTTATTACTATAAAATAACTACTTTACCCTTAAAAAAAACTAAAAAATTAAAAATAGTAATTTAAAATATTTAAATACTAATCCTAATCTGTCTGTTTAAAAATTTTAACTTATAAAAATTTGGAAATTTTCTTTAAAAATAGATTAACATTTTCTTTTTAAATCAAATATTTTTTTTGAAATCAAAGTAAATTTTAAAAAATGCAAATAAAATAAAAATAGAAAGTTTGTTTTTTCATACTATCTCAAACCATAAAAAACCTTATTTAGCAAAATATTTAATTTTTCTTATATGTAAACAATAAAATGTAAGCAAATTATTAGAAAAGTGCTATTGTTATCTTATATTTTAGTCTAAAACTCTAATTTAAAATTTGAGGAATTTAATAGCATAAGAATGATATAAATAATTAACAAAGGCAATTAATTTGTTATGCAATTAAAATATTAATTTATGATCATATATTAACAATAAGATTATATTTATATCAATCAAATATATTTTTATTTATTCATCATTTTTTAATATGTAATTTAAGGTTTTAGTATCCTTAAACTTTCTATTCTAAAGTTAAATATCTATCTATTGTATTATTCCAAGAAGCAATTATTAATGAATTTCAAAACCTTAAGAAATGTTGTGGTTTATTTTTTAATATAAAATTAAAAGACTAAAATTTAATTAGAATTTTGCATTTATAAATTATGGCTTCTAAAAAAATTTACATAGACCAAAATATCTAAATTTTTAAAACAATTTTATGTTTAAAATTGATTTATTTTTTTAATAAATTTGATTTTAAATTGCTAAAGAAATATTATTTATTTAGTTTATTAAAATATAAAGTTCTAAAGATAATTAAGTTGGTAAGTAACTATTAATGAAAAGCTAATAATCTTTATAAATAATTTACATCTAATATATGGTTTACATCAAATATCTGGGTTAAATGACGATTTTATTTCAATAAAAAATTCATAATATTACATCAGAGCTCAAAAATAAATACATAATAAAATTTAGATGGAATTTCTGATGGTATAATTTTTTAGAACCCTATGAAACAAGCAGTAAAGCTACGTTAAGCAGTTAATGGTGGTACAAAAAATAAAGAATTTGAGACATTGAAAAAACACAACTAGAAATCAACTTAACTTACAAATCATATTACTTAAATGCCACCTCATACTAAATTAGAAATCCCCTTAATAAAAATTTTAATCATATGAAATCTCCTTAACTTTATCAAATACCTTACTTAACTTACTAATATATTATTATTATTATTATTATATAAATATTCTTGATTTTTTATATTAGTTTTTTTAATTGTACTTCCTGATCCCCCTTCCATTTAACTGATTTAAAAACTCTATCTATGTAGAGCAACACCAATGATATGTAACATTAAAAATTTAACAAAAGTCTTCATGAATAGATAAAAATATACTGAATATACTTAGATTATTCCTATCACCACTCCAAAATTAGTATTAGATTTTGAATTGTTGTTTTCCTAGACCTAGATTTTCATAACTTAAGGATATGACGTAATTAAGAGGTAAATAGTAATAAATTAGGTTTTACTTATAAATTCTATTAGCATTCAAATTTATTTATAAAAATCACACTTCAAATAATTATTTTTTATATTTATGGAAAAATTTAATCTAATTAAAAAATGTAAAAAAAAATAGAATATATATTGGGAAGTATAAGCTGTGCTTTGATTATTTTGCTTTGCAGCGATTTTAAAGTTTGGAGCATCATAAATACATATGCTTACAGCTATTTAAGATAGTTTAATCCTTCACTCTAAATGAATGACGTAAATGGCATATTTTTTTGGATCAGTTTTGCAACAAGTACAGGCATTCAGTCTGGGCTTTATTTTGCATATAAATTTGGATTTAGAAGAATGTTAATGCTTAACGGTTTAATATGCTCCTTGTTTGTTTTTTGTTCATCTTTTTGTACCAACTTTTATGCTTTTACCTTTACATTTGGTGTAGGCAACGTATTTTTTGGTGGATTAATTTATCTAATAGCTTTTGATAGAGCCTATAAGTAACCTAATACTAACAAAATTAAAGCATTTTTATTTTTTCTTTTTAATTTATAAAATCAGAATATTTCCTAATCATAAAGAAATATCATGTGGACTTCTAAATGTGATGTTTGGAGTAGGAATTCTTGGTTAAGGATAATTATACTTTTTATTGATAAACAAAAACGATATTCATTTAGTTGAAGATCAAGATTACTATCCATCAGAAGTGGCTGATAATGTGCCTTGGGCTTTAAGATATGCATCTATTGTTTATGCATCCTTAGTTATAATCTCGGTTTTATGCTATAGGCCAAGCTTATTTCAAGAAAAGGCATCAATGGTTGGCTTTGATAGCACAAACGATCCATAATAATCTGCTATTTCAGGAGATGTTTCAAATGTATTTAAAAATTTTTAAGTTATAATAAAATACTTCAACTAAAAAATATTTCAATTTCTTTAATTTTCAATCATTTAAATTTTAATCTCGGCATTTGAAAAAAAATATTTAAATAAACTTTTTAATAAAAAAATTTAGATATTCATTAATATTTATTACTCGAATAATAATTTTATTTTATAATTAATGAATATTGTTATTTCTCATAAATTTAAATCTCCTTTTAGTTCATGCTAAAAAAAAAAAATTTTTTTTAACTGAATTAAAATAAAAATAAATACACTTTTTATCTAATTAATGAAAAACAAACAATCAACAGTATATAAAAAAAAAGTTATTTTAAAAAATGAATCGAATAAATTCAAAAAATAAAAGTTTAATTATTTTTTTGTTAATGAAGGTTTTCATTTTGTTAAATTTTAATTTAATATAATTTAGTAGGGATATCAAAGCTTTAATGACGAGTATGAAGAATGCTAAACTTATAAATAGGCTTTTTTAAGTACTACATTTCTTAAGATTTTTGTTATAGTTTTTTTTTTAGGGAGCTTTGGAACAATGATCATTGGTAATTATAGACCATATGGGTAGTAATTTATAAGTAGTGATTCTTATTTGACTTTAATTGGTACTATTTCTGGATTACTTAATGGCTTTAGTGGGATAGCTTGGGGTCCTATTTTAAAAAAATTCAATTACAAATATTTAATTTATCTCTTTTTGATTATAAATGTTATAATTGCGTTTTTATATCCAACGATTTCAGATAACTAAGACCTATTCTTCTTTTTTACAGCATTTTCTATATTTAATTATGGAGGTATACTTCAAATTTTTAATTAAAAATCACCTAATTTTTTGATAAAAATAGGTATTTATTGCGTCTTTCCAATTATGGTTTTAAATGCTTATGGAAATAAAATGGGTTCTAAAATGATAGGACATTTTTTCTAGGCTATAACTTTATGCAGCTTGTTTTAATACGTTTTTCTTATGTTTGTAAGTGATTGGAATATTATATTCTATACTTATGGGGCAATGAGTTTACTAGGTTTGATAATTGCATACTTTTTCACACCTTAAAAAGTAAATTGGAAAATTAATAAGCCTTCTAGCATTTTAGAAAGTTGATTAAATGAAATAAATTAAAAAACTTAGCTTTTCAAATACATAGCCTCAAATGATTTAAATATAAAAGAATATTTTTGATAGGCATTATTAAGCTAAATATTATAAAATAATGTAAAATTATTTAAAAATTAATTAATCTGATTTTTTTTTAGTATATTAAAAATTTGTATATTGTTATAAACCACTAGAAAGATTAGATATAGAAAATTAACAATCTTATAAAAGATTTTATATCAAAAAATTTATTCTCTTTATAAGTTTGCTATTTATGTATGATATGTATGAGTGATATTTTTAATTTGATTTACATTTTTGAAAAAAAAAATGAATGAAAATAATAAAATTTTTTCTAAAATAAATAGTTAGTTATTCCTATTTTTATTTATAAAATTATGTTTCAAAAATTATTATTATTAAAATCAAAGAGACATATTAAATGACATAAAAAAAAGTATTTCCCTTATTTTTTTAAAAACATTTAAAGTTAATTTTATTTATCTGCTTACAATTATAAATAGAGTAATAACTTGTTTTATTAATAAATAATAAAAATAAGAAACAAAAATACATAAAATCTATTAAAATTTAAATATCTGACTAAGATTTAAAAAAGTCAAATTTTATTTATTTATTTTTATCTCTTTAGATAATAATTAAATACCACAGAAATAAATACATGAGAAATCACTTTTTATGAATATTTTTAATCATGTTTATCTAATCATTTTTTGAAGGTTCAGATATTAAGATAAAAATAGCTAAACATTAATGATTATTTGGAAAAGATTTGTTATTTTAAAAACAATACTTAAATTACATGATATAACTAAAATAATAGATCACATTAAAAAAAATCCTTGATTTTACACATATTTATTTAATACTCTTATTTTTATAAATGAAATTTTTTGTTTTTAAATTTATTTTAATTTATATCAGCCATGTATTTTTTAAAGTAGTTATTCAAAATTATATTATGCATGCAGAGATAATAATAATTTTATATTTTTATCAGTAATTGTTTTAATAGAATAATAAAATTTTTTTCTATTTAAAGAAAAGAGAAAAAGTGGATACTATATTTATTAATTTATTTATTGCATCCAGATAGTTCAATCTATAAAAGAAATTAGTTTTAGTTTTTAATGTTTATTAAACTCAAGTTGAGATTGGACAAAATACAAAATTAATTCTTTACAATTCGTTTAAACCAATCCATACTCGTATTATGAGCAGTTATTCTTTTAATTTTTATCTAATAGATGTAACATAATTCTTTTATTAAAACCATTTACAATTTAATTAATTAAATCTAATTGGCAAATCGTTTTTCAGGATATATGTTTTGTTAGAGTTTTCATATAAATTTTTGGATTATTAATCAGTCTTATAAATCTGTGGTAAGAAAATATTAGTCTTTCAAAATTATTAATAATATTTTGTTGCTAAATTTAAACATAATTGAAAATGCAAAAAAAATTTGAGTAATTATTTGGAAGCTTAAGCTGTGTTTTGATCATTTTGGTTTGCGGTGACTTTAAGGTTTGGAGCATCATAAACACTTACGCATACAGCTATTTAAGACAATACAATACCTCTCTCTAAATGAATGATGTAAATGAAATATTCTTTTGGATCAGTTTTGCTACAAATACAGGCATTTAATGTGGATTATATTTTGCTTATTAGTTTGGCTTCAGAAAAATGCTCATAATTAATGGATTAATATGCTCTATTTTTGTTTTTTGCTCTTCCTTTTGTACAAATTTTTATGCTTTTACCTTTACATTTGCAGTTGGTAATGTATTTTTTGCTGGGATGATATATTTAATAGCTTTTGATAGAGCCTATAAGTAATCTCATAATATTGTAATAACTAATTTCACTAAAACTGTAATTTTAACTAATTAGGATTTTTCCGACTCACAAAGAAATAACAAGTGGATTGCTTAATGTTATATTTGGAATTGGTTTACTTGGTTAAGGAGAATTATATTTCTTAATGATAAACAAAGATGACACTCCTCTTGTTGAAGAATAAGATTATTATCCTCCTGAAGTAGCTAATAACTTACCTTGGGCTCTCAGATACATTTCTATTATTTATGCATCGTTTGTTATCATTTCATTAATATGTTATAGAAAAAATCTATTTGAAGAATAAATCTCACCTTCATGTGACAGTGATAACTTAATCGATCAAGAATCAGCTCCTTCCAGCGACACATCTAGTGTAACCTTTTTTTTTACAGATTTAAAATTTATTATCAATGCTTTAATTTTTAATCTAAATATTCCAAACATTTTTTTCTCAAAATGAATGAATCATTTTATTGATTTTAGATCAAATTAAAAATTAAAAACTAAATTAATAGCAAATCAAAAACTATTACTTATCGATCAGAAAGCAAATTAAAAATATAAATTTAATAAATACTTATCAAAAAGCAAATGAATTAATTTCTATTATTGATCTACTTTTTTATTTTAATTTCTTTGACTTAATAATATGTTGAATTTGATAATATCAAAAATAAAAATCATAAATTTTATTTTAATTAATTATAATTTATAAATATAATATAGTAGATAAACTAAAATTAGGAGGTAAATGAAGAACATTAAGAATGCTAATCATTTAGAGAGGCTTTTTTGAGTGTTTCATTTGTTAAAGTTTTTTTTATTCTCTTCTTTCTTGGTAGTTTTGGAACAATGATAATCGGTAACTATAGACCATATGGATAACAATTCATAAGCAGTGACTCATATTTAACTTTAGTAGGTACCATTTCAGGGTTATGCAATGGCTTTAGTGGCTTGGTTTGGGGTCCAATTCTAAAAAAAATAAATTATAAATACGTTATTTATATTCTGTTAGGTATTAATGCTATAGCCTCTTTTTGTTATCCAAGTATATCATAATATCAAGGGTTATTCTTCTTTTTTACTGCTCTTTCAATATTTACATATGGAGGTAACATTTTTTTTTTTCTATTTTAAAATTTTATAAATATTTTATTAATATTATAGGAATATATTGTGTCTTTCCAATTATGGTTTTGAATATTTATGGAAATAAAATGGGTACTAGAATGATAGGAAATTTTTACTAAGCTTTAACTTTGTGTAGCTTATTCTAGTACATTTTCCTTAAGTATGAGAGCGATTGGAATGTTGTTTTTTATACTTATGGGTCAATGAGCTTATTTGGTTTGATAATTGCTTTGATTTTCACTCCTTAAAGAGTAAACTGGAAGGTTAAAGTACCTTTAAGCAATTAAGAAAGTTGAAAGATGTTCTTTAATTTTAATAAAAAAACAAAAATAAAAATCCTCAATTTGATAAATTAATTTAACAAAATAAATAATTGATTGATTGAACATGTTTATAAATTTAATAATTTTATTTATTATTCGTTGTTTTACAAGTTATCCTTAAAATAATTTTTAAGTTATTAATTATTTTATTTATTTATTTATGTGTTGTTTTTTAATCAAATATATTTATTAGTAAACACTAAATTTATTTATTTATTTAATTAATTAATTTTGAAATGTTTCAAATGTTTATTTGCAACAAATAAAATCAAAAATAAAAAGCTATCTCCTTATTTTTATTGTTTGAAATGAACCTAAATAAGAATGTATTGAATGATTAATTGATTGATTGATTAATTTTTTGATAAAGTTATTTGCTAAAAAGAAATTTTGTTGTAATTTAATGATATAGTGTCTCTCTTTATTGATTATTAAATAGTTCAAGAAGTTCTATTAGTCACAAACAAGCTTTCGATTGTCAAAGAAACAATCATATTTTACATACATTTGTGTTTATTTATTTATGTATTAATTTTCTTTGAAAACAGCATGGATTTTTATTAAGATAACAATAAATATGCATACATACATAGATATTAATTAAGTTATTATATTTTAAAAATAAATTCTTTTAAGAAACTTGAGATTGCTCATAATAATTAAATAAAAAAATTAAACTAATAAAAAGCAAATAAATAATCTGACAGTAAAAATGGTTATGAAAAATAGCAAGCTTGAGCGTTACGAAAAGCTCAATAAGCTCGGTGAAGGTACATATGGTGTTGTATATAAAGCAAGAGGTAAAATTTATTATCTTTTAAAAGCACATATTTATAGAATAGAGAGAATAAAAACACTTTTACACCATCGCTTAACTTTTCTATTAAATGCATTATGTTTTTTTAGGGAAGATTTAATTTAATAAACATTCCATTAATATTTAGAAAAAACTACCAAAGAATTGTATGCCTTGAAAAAAATCCGTTTAGAAAGTGAAGATGAAGGTATTCCCTCTACCGCAATCAGAGAAATCTCTCTCTTAAAGGAGTTATAACATCCTAATGTTGTTAGGTAAGTTGATTAAGTTGATATTCAATTAATTTTTCTACTAGCCAAAGATTGATTTTTTCAGATTTAAATTAAAAAGGATTACTTTAAAAAAGCATTTCCAAAGAATGTTTGTTAAGAAAATAAAATAAGTATGAATCAAAGAATAACAAATATTTTTTATTGTTAAAAAATCAGATTGCACGATGTCATCCATTCAAATAAGAAACTCGTTTTAGTTTTTGAATTCGTTGATTAAGATTTAAAAAAATTCATGAATAACTTCAAGGATAAAGGACTCGATCCTCATATTATTAAGGTATGAATTTGAGAGTAGCAATCAATCCCACAGAATGAAAAATATAACATTTTAAAATATAGAGCTTACTTTATCAATTATTGAAGGGTATTGAAGTTTGTCATAAAAATAAAATTCTTCATAGAGATTTGAAGCCTCAAAATTTGCTAATTTCAAAGGTAGAGCTTATAAAAATTTGTTTGTTTGTTTTTTAAAAAAACTATTTTTTCTTTTGAAAGTTTATTTTTTATAAATAATTAATATATTATTATTTTATTTAAGGAATGTATCCTTAAGTTAGCAGATTTCGGTTTGGCTAGAGCTTCTGGTATTCCTGTAAAGAATTATACACATGAAGTCGTTACTTTATGGTACAGACCTCCTGATGTCCTTTTGGGATCTAAGCACTATTCCACTTCAATTGATATCTGGAGTATTGGTTGTATATTTGCTGAAATGGTTAACTTAAAACCCTTGTTCCCTGGTAATTCAGAAACAGACGAATTAAAGCGTATCTTTAAGTTGACAGGTACTCCATGTGTTGAAAAATGGCCTGGGCTTGCCGATCTTCCTAATTGGAAGGTAATTTTATTCATTTAATTAATTATTGAACATAAATTAATAATAAATACTCTCTTTTTTATTAGGCTGATGCATTTGAAAAATATCCTGGAGAGCCTCTTCAAAATATTTGCCCCAAGCTTGATGAACTCGGTCTCGACTTACTTGGTGTAAAAATAGTTTTAAGTTAAAAATATTTAGAAAATTGTAAATATTTTATTTTAATAGAAAATGTTAAGATGCAACCCATAAGAAAGAATTACTGCCAAAGCAGGTTTAGAACATCCCTATTTCAACGATATTCCTGACACATTAAAGAAGTTATATCAATCAAACTGATAAATATGAATAAGCTCGAAGGTAGCTTGAAAATGTTTTAAAAATTAAAATTAAATCCTTCGATAAATAGTAAAATAAATAAAATATTATGAACAAATTAAAAAAATGTAAGCAATATTATTTGATAAATAAGCTTTAATAAACTAACTATTTCTCCATTTGTAAATGTAGTTAAAATATATTTTTTGTAACTTTAATAGCAGATTTATTATTTTTCTAACTCTTTTTAGCAATTTCATTACGTATTATGGCTACAAATAAATAACATACATTAAAAATTCTTTATTAAATTTTTTAAATGTATAAAATCATCTATGTTTTATATCAAATTCATTTATTATTATGAGATTTATGGCAATCATTTTCAAAAAGTTTTATAATCTATTTTAACTTTAAAAGAAAAAATAATTATTTCTTAAAAATATTTAACTAAATATAATTAATTAAAAGCTTTATAAAAATTTGAAAATTATTTTTTTCTGTTAACATTTATATTTTTAAAATAATATAAACATCATTTTTTTTCAATTAAGTATAATATGATTGCTTTAGCAAAAATTTATACTTCTTAAAAAAGTTAGAAAATTTTTATTTTAAAAAAATAAATATATTTTGTTTTGATTAAAATATTTTATCTATGATTTTATTAAAATCTATCTTTATTATTTGTATAAATATGCAAAAAATTGCTTTTTTCTAATAGTAATTTTTAAAAGAAGAACTTATTATTAATATAAATAAGTATGAAAATAATTGTTTAAATAGCTAGTAAATTTGATAGATTCATTTATTTTTTAAATTAAAAAATAAAAAGTAAAAAAGAATTTAATTATGTTAATTTTAAAATGCTTAGTTTTTTAAGAAGCATATTAATTAAAATCAAAATGATACTAAAAGTTTAAGTAATGATTAAATTTGATAAATGACTTTTATTTAACTAAAAAATAATTTATTTATTTTACTTTAATGTTTTTAAATTTTGAAAATAATTATTAAAATTTAGATTATGAATTATTTAAAAGGATGAATATGAGAATGTTGTCTTATTAGCTAGTAATATTTAACAAGAGACTTATTAATAAAATCAGTAAGTAAAATAAAAAAGAGTTTAATTGGTTTAATTTGAAAATGATTATTAAAGTTTATAATTAATTAATAAATAGTATTTGAAAATATATTAAGTTATTTTTGTATAATCAATATATAAATAATTTCAAATTAATTAAGTAAAAAAAAGAGTTTATTTATTTTAATTTGAAAATGATTATTAAAGTTTATAATTTGCACTTGTATATTCAAAGTATAAACAATTTAAATTAAAACGAATAAAATAATTTAAAGTTTGTAATTTAATAGTATTTGAAAATAATATTAAATTATGCTTGTATAATGAAAGTATAAACAAATTAAAATGAATAAAATTTTAATTGAGGCCTAAATTCTGAGTTATTAAAATGAATGAAGTTGCTTCTTTTGAAGAAATTAATTAATATTTACTTTGAAGAAAGTCCAAAAACAATTAAATGTAATTATTTTGATAGAAAGAAATCCTATATTTAAAAAGAAAAAGAAAGGGATTAGCTTAGTAAATAAGAAGATATCGATAGAAGTATTATCAAAACAATATAAAATGATAGGAAAAAATATTGTCAGTAAATTAGGAAACTTAGCTTCAAATGTCCATATTTTGAATAAATAAATTGCATCTTTCTCTGTATGGAAAAACCCTACAAATTATTTGCCAGAGAAAGCAAAGTTCCCTTCTCCCAAGGAGTTATTCCCTAAAGACAATGAGAATTCTTGGAAGACTCTTAATGATTTAACCCCTTCTCTTTTCAAAGACGTTTAGGGTATGAAAATAAGATTTATCTTTATACAAATAACTCCTACCTATCAAATGTAGATATAGTTTTCACTCATCAAATTTTATATGAAATAAAGGATTTAAGGAAAAGTAAGTTCAAAGGGCTGCATATATGCAAATCGCAAAACCAAATGGATAAATGTACCATATTTTTGATGCTTCCAAAATGGTAAAAAAATTATTTAATTAAGATAGATGTTTGAAAGTTTTTAAGAAGTTTTTCAGTTTAAAAATATAACAAAGCAATTTAAATTTGTTTGGTGGAATACCACTAAGAATGATTTTATTAATTTTCAGCGTTTGTCATTTTTCTACCATAAATTTTGTTTATTTTTGATTAATTTATTTTAATAATAACAGCCTTTAGGAAGAATGTGCTAGAAAATTGCTTTCTTTTTGCAAGGAAAGCATAGACCTACTTTCAAAAACTGCGATTAAGTCACATATGACAATATTATTGTTGTTAATGCTGCAAATATAATGTTAACAGGAAAAAAAGCTCTCCTTAAGACTGTGAAATATCATACAGGTATTCTAATTGATTATTCTCCCTTTCTTAAAAATCTAAAGATTTATCTTTTTATTTTTTGCTCGTTTACTCAAGCAAAAAGATAAACTTTTTATAGATATTAATAGTTAAAATTTGGAAATACAAATCAGTATTATAAATAAAATATTTTTTTAATAGATTTGTTAATATCAAATAAAATAATTTCAAAAAAACATTTTTTTTAATTTAGGTTTTGTTGGAGGATTAAAGGAAAAATCATATAAATTCTTCTTGACAGAGAAGCCTGAATAGTTAGTAAATATTTACATTTAGTTAGTTAGTAAGGTTAAAAGCAAAATTTATTTTAAAAATTGAAAGGTTTTCTATTGCATCAGCAAAATGCTTCCTAAAAATTTAAAGAGAAGAGATCTCTTAAAAAAAGTAGAAATATACAGAGATTTCTAACACGAAAAATAAGGTTTACCCAATGTAATTTAAGTTAAAATTAACTATGCATCATTTATTTTAAATTCCTTAATTGAATTAATATAGTTTGTTCCTTATACTGAAAAAGAAACTTTCGATTAATACTTCAATCCCTTCGTTCACAACTTTGAAGACTTAGTTATTAAATTCTAATCATCTAAAGGTATAAAAAACATCAGTTTACTTTAAATGAGAAATCATATTTTTAAAAATAACAGAAACTCCTAAGGAACTCGAAGGTATTAAAAAGGAAATTGATCCTGAAATTACTCTTCCTTTCAACTAGAGATCTAAGATATTCAAATTAAATGCTCATAATAGAAGAGTTATGAAATAATGGAAGATGTATTACAGAAGACTTAGAAGATACAAGGTCCATAAGATTAAGGCTCCTAAGAATAGAGATCCTAACTTGTCCAATAAGTCATTCATGATTACTTCAGATCGTCAAATTAAAGATTTCAATCTTCATAATCGTATTGTTCCTGAAGAAGTACCTGAAGATGATGATGAAATTATGAGAACTATTCCAAGACAAGGAGGTGGTTCTGCAACTGCTGGTCCTGCTAAGCCTGCTGGTGGTAATGCTAATGCAGGTGCTGCTGCTGCAAAGGGAGGTAAATAAGGTGGTAAAAAGTGAAAACCATTAATTGAAGAATGAAGCTTCAAAATATTTAAAATAGTTCTTGAAAGTAGTTAAGATTGTTTAATTTATGTTTATTATGTAAACAAGTAAGAAATTTCAATTAAAATAAGCTAGTTGTCATAGCATATTAAATATATACAAATATTAAGTGCATAAATAATTTATTGTATTTGTTGAATTATTTAAATTACCAAATTTAATTCATTTTATAAAATAAAAAAAAGTATTAAGATGTAAATAACTTTCATAAATTAAAATTATACTTTGTTGAATTATTGATTCTACTTGATTTTGTTAAAAATTTTTCTTTATTTAATTTAAAAAATTATATTTTAAAAATATCTAATTTGATACAAAACAAATAAAAGTAAAATGAAAAAATGAGTAGAAATTTTAAAAATAAAAAAATAATTAATTAATATTCAAACATTTTTTCATTCCCATGAAATTTTTATTAAATCAATAATTATTTAATAAATAAATAAATTAAAATTTTTGATATTACATTATTCATTAATATTTGACTTTAAATATACTTGTGAGAGTTATATTAAACAATATGGAATAACTTTCTTTTTATAATAAGAATCAGCAAAGATATTTTATATCAAAGTAATTCAGTTTTAAAGTTGCTTATTATATTAATTAAGTAATTATATGCCTTCATTTATCATTTATGCATTTTTCATTTTAAAAATTTAAACTTTTATAATACATTTTATATCAAATTAAATAATTAGTTTATTATATTTTTTATAATAATATATTTTATAATTTTTATGTTCTTTTTAAGGAATATTATTTTATAAGAAACATTTCAAAGAATTAAAAATAAATTTTCTTAATAAAATAATATTGCATAAAGCTATCTATTTAAGTAATTAAAGTATCAAAATATATTGGAAATTATAAATTTTAATACATTTCTTTCTAATAAAGCTTATTAAATTAAGAAGTGTTACAATTTATGTGACATATTTATTTATTGAATAAAAATTTATTATTTTTACTGATAATTTAAATTTTCAATGGTAATTATTTTTGAAGTAAAACACTTTGTTTAATTTTATGCATACTTTTTAGAATATAAAATGGTTTTCGAAAGTGCCTTTTATTTTAGTTTTGAATACATTTTAAAAAATAATTTTCAAGTTTAAATAATCTATTATAAAAAATATTAGGAAAGTGCTTTCATGTGTACTGTTTTGGTATTTGAAAAGAAAACTGCAAAGTTGTTTAAAAATTAATTAATGTAAAAAATAAAAATAGATTGCAAATTATTTATTGATAGTATAACTAATAGTAATAACACAAACAAAGCACTATTTAATATAAAAAAATTTACAAATATAAAACTTTTTTAATAATTATAAGAAAGTATTACTGAATTAGCGACCATTTATTTATTTATAATATAACTTGTTTGAAATGTCACGTTTGGAAGGAAATAAAGGAAGCTAATCCAACCTCCCATAATATAAAAATAAAAATAAAGATAAATCTATTGCAGTTCCTTAAGAACATGAGCAGGATAAAGACTCAATTTTACAAACATGGTATTGTTTAAAATGTTAAAATGGAGATTCATTTTAATTAAAATATTTTTAGGGAGGAAATCGAGTAAATCAGAAAAGAAAATAAGGAGCTTAGAGATGAAATTGTAAAACTAATAATTAATATTTTACAAAATTGAGACTTTAACTTTTAATTTAAGCAGTTAATCTTAAATATGCAAAAGAATAAGTTTTGAATGATTTTATCATTGATTGCTAAATACTAATTTACATATATAATTTTTTTAATTCACCTGTATAATAGAAAACAGAGGCACGCATGAATAATCTAAATGCTCCAGTTTTGGTTACTAAAATGGAACAGATATAAGAACTTAGTAGCATTTATGCTTAAAAGATAGAAGTTGAAACTTAGAAAAAGGTAGATATTTAAATAAATAAATAAATTTCTTTTGTATAATTATTTGGAGAAAATAAAAGGAAATTATCTTATTATGTTTGATTATTTTACATAGATTATTATTTAGGTTTAATTATAGAATTCTTTGAAAACTAAATATTTTTTATGAATTAAAGAAAGATTTAGAGTTACTCAAGCAGATATCTTAGGAGACTATAAATAGTAACTTAAAGAAGATGAGCTAAAGTAATGGTATAGCTCTACCATAGCTTTAGGCTAAGATTAAATAACTAGAATATAAATTAGAAAAAACAAGAAGCAGACACAATGAAAGTTTGGCTCAAATAAATATGCTTAAAGAATAAGTTAATATGGCGAGAAGAGAGAGAGTCATTTTTTCTAATGTTTTCAAAAAACTTGAGAGCGATATTAAGCTTAAAGACGAGGAATTTAAGAAATACATGATTGAAAAAATGTAAGTAGATGTTAAAAAGAAGCAATTAGAAGAGGAGTTATAGAAAATAAAAATAAGAGCAAAGAAAGAAGTTCTTCTGTTCAAAAACGAATATCAATAATTGTTTAACCAAAGTAAAGTGTAGCAATAGTAATAATAGAGCAATAACGAGTCGCTTGAGTACAATCCAGGATAAAAGAGAATTTTTGAAACTGAAGTCATATTAAATGAGTAGATACAATTAAATACAGCAAATAACACAACTATAATAAACAACAACAGTATCATCAGTAATAATAACAACACAAACAATATGAATTCTCCTAACAACCAAAATTACACTATGCCTAACAACAGCACCTTAACAAACTAAAGTTCTATTTTAAATAATAAAAATCTTAATTAAAAAAATCAAGCTAACTCTATAAATCTCTAAGTTACACAAGAAGAAGTAAATTTTATAGTTTGATATTTTTAAAATAATAAAAATAATTTTCATTTTTGAGAAGCTTTAAAAGTACCAGTTTATGTTCCAAAAAATTCAAAAAGAAGTTGGAATAGATGACTTAGATCATTTAATTTATCTCTTCGAAAATATTGACAAAGAAAATAACGACCTCTATGAATCTGCAAACAGCAAAAGTGATGAAGTAAAGACTTATTAAACTTTTATTTTTCAAAACAAAGAAAATTAATATTTTTCATAAATAAATTTAAGATTGATGCACTTAAAAAAAAAATCAAAGAAGTTGAAAACGAAGTTTAGAAATACTCGAAGCATAACGATAACAAACAGAAGCAAAGCAGTGTCAATGATAAAAAGCTGTAGGATATTTAAAAATACGAGAAAAAGATAGATAATGTAGATAGTCTCACAAAAGTGGTCAATACAGACATTCAAAGTGTTAATGTATATATATAAATTTAAGAGCTAAACATGAAATTAACTCTATTTAAAATAAAAAGACTAAGCTTATAAAAATAGCAGAAAAGTTTAACATTCCTATTCCTCAAGGAGAAGAAATAGAAGAAACAAGTTTCATCAAATTTCTACAGGATGTTGAAGCAAGAATCAATGATATTATTAATATGTCTCTTTATTGTGAAGGAAAGGTAGATTTTAAATTAGAAAAGATAATGAATAAAAATTAAACATTTTTCAGATAATAAATATAGATCGTCATCATCATGAAACATAGGTAACAGTTACAAGTTTATCTAAAAAAGGAGACAACAACAGTGGAATAGCTCTAGTATTAGATGGAGGTAATTAACTTGTTTAGTAAATAAAATACCAAATTTTTCACTTTAATAATAAATAAAAGTTAAAAAGAATAGCGAGTCAGAATCAGAAAGAATATTAACTAAGGGTGATTTCGACCTAGTCAGCAAAAATGTAATTAATTTATCAGCTAAAATTTTACAAATATTTTTGGTAAAAATCTTTTTTAAAATAGGAAATAAAAAACTTTAAAGAAAATAAAGGCAAAGTTCCTCTTTCTTAGAAAGGAAAGAAATCAAAAATATGAAATGGCCGTCCATCTTATCATAAATAAATAATTAATAAATTATTATTGTTATTTTATTGTAATAAAAATAAAGTCTTATTGTATATCTAACTAAATAAATATTAATTCTAATAATTTTATAAAAAGATTTTATTTATTTCATTAAAATAATAAATAACTTTCTTTATGCATCAAAGTTGTTGATTTTTAATTAATTTATTGCATTCAAAAAAAATATTTATTTATATAATGAATGTGTTTTTACTTAATATTAAAAAAATAAAAAAGGGGCAATCCGGGGATTGAACCCGGGACCTCTCGTACCCAAAACGAGAATCATACCACTAGACCAATTGCCCTAGATGTTAATATTTTAATTTTAATCAACCATATTAAAATTTCAATTTTTTTTTTCTAGTTAGGATTTTAAGCTTCATTCATTTATTTATAATTTGAAACAAAACTATTTCAACTTAACAATAATTAATTAAAGCTGAAAATTAATTAAAAAAATTTGAATTAATTTTTAATGTATTTTATTTTGATTAAATGATTTTTTATTTTGAAGTGCTTAAATATTCAGGATTTAATTAATATACAATTTATTTTCTATTTTTTCTGTGGTTTTTAATTGATGTCTTTAGTTTTTTCTAAAATTTACAAGTATAACTTTTACTTTGATATGCTATGTAATTGTTGTTGATTGAGAATTTTTGTTATTTGATTTGATTAAAAAACGTGTAAATATAATATATAAACATATTAATTGGGATTATAAAATGGGAAATATAGTTTAGCCTTTTGAATTTTGAATGACTTTGGAACTTTTAGATTCAAAAAGCTGCAACAAACAATCTATGTGGTATTTACTTTTAATAAATTAATATAGGCTCAATTAATTTGCAAAAATATCATAAAATCATACAATTAGTATAAGTAAAGACTTTCAAAAAGGTCTCTTTTTTCTTAATTCGTCAAGCTAATAAATATAAACATAAAATTTGAGTTAACTTATTGCCAAAAATAAAATAAATAAATAAATTACGAGTTGTTTTCCTTGTATTTTCTTTTCTTAAAGTCTTTGCTCATAAGCAATATTTCTTAATCTTTCTTATTCTTCTTCCTATCTAATTTTCTCCAATTCATCTTACCTTTTTCTATCTTTGTCGTGCATTTAGCCAATAAGTGAAGATTGGTGTTGCTTGTTTGTCTATTTTGTAAGGATTTTTAAAAATAAAATTTTTGTTTTTCAAAATGAAAAATTACAAGGTATAGCTCTTTCTTTTTTCTCTCAACTTCTTATTCATAAGCAGCAACAGCTTTTGTTAATATGTCTTTTTCTAACTCTTTTTATTCTTTTTCTACTTAGACTAAAGTTTCTGTTTGTTTGGTAAGTAATTGATAAGTTTATTTTTATAAAATAATTTATATAAATATTTACATTTGAGTTCAATATCAGTTTTTCTTGAATCATAAACTTCATGCATTAACTTAATTTTTGCTTCCTTTTTAAATTTATTAATTAAATTATTTTAGTTTTTATTTTATTTAAATAATTCATACTCTTTCTTTTTACCAAATAGCATTTTATCTTTACCATTGCTTTTCTGCTTCTTCGTTAATCAATCTCTCTAGCTCAGCTTCGTATTAATGAGTTTCGTTAGATCTATTTTTAAAATTCAACAAGAAGGCTTTTGTTTCTTCTTGGAATTTGCGCTTTTTTAGTTAAAATTAAACATAAATAAATATATAAAAGAAATAAGGTTATAGTAATATGAATGATATTATCTACCTTTTATTCTGCTTCAAGTCTATCAAGCATTTATTCTTTAGTTATTATTCTACTAATCATTTCTTTATCTTATTGTTTTTCTATATCTTTTTCATATGCTTTTCTTCTTTAAAGTTCTTCATTACTTTCTTTGATTTCATTATTTAAGTCTTTGTTAAACTAGAATAGCTCTTGTTACTGCTTTTTATGTCTTTCTTCCTCTTTCTTCCACTCTTCTTTCTAAAATTTAAAGAAAAAACATGATTTAAATTAAACAAAGCTTTATTAGGATTACAAGCATCATTTTTTCGAGGGAATCCAAATCTTTTTCTTAGTTTCTTCTAGTTTGGTTCATGGCCTTTTTATTTTATATAATAAAATTTAATTATTTGAATTACAAATAAAAGAAACTGTAATTAATTGACTTAATAATTAAATCATTACATTAATTAAATCTTTGTATCTTTTTTATTTGAAATTTATTTCCAAAATTTTTGTAAAAATATATAATATTTTACCAATTGTGTGTGGAGGACTTTATTTCTTTCGTCAACTTTCTTCTTTCTTTCATATTCTTTTACAAGTTCTTCTTTTTCCTTCTTTTTAATGTCATATTTGTAAAGTTCTGCATAAATCATCTCCTCTATTGTTTTAAACAAAATTTATTATGATGTTATCATCTCAGCAAATAAGTTGAAAAGTTTTTAGAAAATTGAATGAAAGTTGGATTAAATTTTTTAAAATTATCTAATCATATAGCACAATCTATTTATTTCCCTTATTTATCTTCTAAGCTATAAACCGTTACTTTTTAAAAATCAAACAAAACTAAATTTGATTGTAGTTTCAAAGATGTACTCTTAAATATCTAAAGTAAACAAATTATATATCGCTAGACCATTATTTATATCTCAATCAATAATAGAAATATTCAACATTTGTTGAAAAAAATTTTCATCTTGTATAAATTGAGATGATTTACTAACAGTATTATTAAGGTTGCTAATTATTTTAATTGTATAAATATTGTTAAGTAAGTATACATACCTTCATATTTTTCTTAAAGAATCTTTTGCTTTTCCATAATTTATATATTTTGCTCGTGATATGTTTTGAGTTCGTGGAAATCGGCATCTACTTTACGAAGCTCGTCAGCATTACGAACAAATTATTACTCTCTTTTTTCTTCTACAATTTTCTACCTTTCCTTTTCCTTTTCTTCTTTGAGGTGATTCACACGTTAAATCATTTTTTATCTAATATCCTCAGGGGTTTCTTGCAAATCATGAATTTCTTATTTGTACTACTCATGCTCTCTTCCTAATAAGGTTGCTAATTTTTAACGTCTTTCATTTAATGCTCTTTAACTTCTTACACGAAGCTCGGCCAATCTCTATTTAATATAGTTTCCTTCATTTACAGCCTTTCCCCTGTTCTCCCAACAAGCAAATTCTTTTTCATAGAACTCTTGGTTCAGTTTTGTTTTCAACCTATCCAATTTTTCATCTTGCACTCTTCTCTAGTAAATAGCACGCTCATTTGGATTTCTATAATTGAATTGTTGATTCTAAGAAAGTATCATCTTCTAAATAAATTATCCTTTTTTTATATATTTTAGGAACTTTGAAGTGTTGTTGGAATGATTGATTTATTGATTAAATGAATGCTTATTTAATAATTATTTGTTTTCTCTTTATTCAATTATTGAAATTATAACTTTTTGTTTTATTTCTTATTTTTTTAATTCAGTCCAATAGTTAATTAATTAATTAATAACACAGCTTTTTTAACATACAAAAAACAATATTAGAATTCATTGCAAATTTAATAATCGCATAAATCAAAATGAATGTTAGACCTATAAAAATTAATTGATTAGCATTTACAAACAAAAAATTAAATTTGATTAAATTTCAAAAAAAAAAAAGCTAATAAAAAAATAATTAATCTTGCTTTATCAATCATTCATTGAATAAATTTATTTAATTTTGAAACTATTTGTTAACTATAAAAAAGTATTTTTTTATCTTTTTTAAAATAAATTTTTTGTAAAACGTTTAAATTAATTTTGATAACTCCAAACCATAAAAAATAAATTTAAATTAAATCTAATATTTAAAAAAACAAAATATTTATTTTCATTTTTATAATGAATAAAATAAATTAATTGGAATTAAATGAAATTTACTAATTTTTAAATTATTTTTGGAAATTTAATTGAATATTTTTTAAATTAAATTTTGAACCAATAAAATTAAATTATTTAACATAAAAAACTAATTTTAAAAATAAAATTTTCATTTTTGTTTTAAAAAGTAAAAATTAATAAAATTATTCTATTTTTGTTTTGAATTTTCTTACTATTAGAGTACAATATTTTCAAAAATAATTTTTAAGATTTTAATTAAATTTAATAAGAAATATTGACATAAAATTTTAATTTATTGTTTAGTTGGCAAAGTTAAATAAAATTTTAAGTTAAATTTGAAATAAAAGTATTAAAATAAAATCTAAAATAATATCATAAAAAATTACTTATTATTTATCTAAAACTTTTAAATAAACATTATCTTGGTAAATAATTACAAAAAAAATTATATGAATGTTAATTAGCATGCTGTTGAAAATAATAATAATAAATTTTTATATTAAGCAAGAATGACAAATGATAAAAAAGATTTTAATCTCAATATAATTTAATTCTTTAAATTGACTAAGATAATTTCATTAATTTAAAAATACTCAAAACATTTTCTATTTTAGAAAAAAACTAATTCTATTTTATTGTTAATTTAAAAAAATAAAATTTATTTATTTATTTGCTGAATTTCTGTCTAAGTTAGCAAGCTAAAAATTAGAAAATATAAATTTTCTTGGATATTAACTTATTTTTTAATTTTTTAATTAAATAAAATTTTTCAGATTATTTCAATTTGAAATAAATGAGTTTTTAGAATAAAAATAAACCAAATACATCGAGCAGCTTTTTTAACAATAATTCATTTTTTAGAGGAATTAAAATTGATGAAGCAACATAGTTGAATCTGAGTATATCTTAAATTCCTTCTTAAATGGGATAATCTTGCATGCTCAGCTAGGACTTATTTCTTTCATAAAAACCTTAAGATAAGTCAAAAAACAAAGACTTTAAACAGATGCAATCAGATTCTTCAAAAATTTCATTTACTAAAGACTTAACTTCCAGTTTTGTTAGCAATTCTAATAACAATGCTTTTTCTATTAAAATAGATGCTAGCTCTATTGATGAGCAATTAAGTTCAGGAGATTACTAAAAAGTTAAAGAATTCGTTTATTATTTCTAAAATCTTCTTGTTTGCAAAGACCACAAAAATTCTTTTGTTTAAATAGATGATAATATTGTTTAGATTAATTTAGAAGAACTTTTATTCAACTAAAAATGTTAAAATTCAACCTGTTTGGAAATTTGTAAGAAATAATTAAAAATAAGCTCTATTTATTCATTTAACAAACTGATGTACCACTCATTAAAAATTGCTTTAAATTCAGTTTTTTCTAAAAATTTAAAACCTGACTTTTCAAAATTAAAATTTCAATTGAAAGTAAGTCAAAACTTATAAAATAGTGAGGGTGAGTCTATCTATAAAGCTAAGCATAACGACTTAGTTTTTTTGTAGGGTTTTTTTGAGAGCTATCTAGATTCAAATATTTATTTTTCTTATGTTTAAAGGAGATATACTATTGTCCATTCTTACAAATTTATAGTTAACGATGAAAATTAAACATGCTTAACAGTATTTACACTTGAAAAAGAAGTAAAAGATAAAATTGATTTATTTTAGGATGTAAATTTAATTGGATTTCTTGTGATTATCACTAACCCATTTAGTTAATTAAATGAGTTTACAATAGAAATAAACTAAATTAATTAAATTAAAGAAAATAATACTTAAGATTGTTTAGAAAATTAGCTAAAAATGATTTAAGAAGTGAGAGAATTGTAATAGTAAAAATCATGCTTTGACTCAATGGTTAAAAATTTTTTCAAAAATGTATTACCCCAAAATTTTGTGTTCAAAGGATTACTTTTGCTTATCCTAGTTTCAAACACTTCTAAATTAACTGATTTAAATATTTTATTTCTATGTGATAATGGCTTATCTTAAACAGATTTACTGAAGCAGCTGTAGCTTTTCCAGAAATAGAATTATAAAATAGTTTCAGGTAATTTAGATTTTCTTAGAGTAAAAATATTTAACTTTTGAAATTAAAGAATAAGAAAATAGAGCAAACAAGCAGCAAAGAAACACTATTATTTAGAAAAAAGTTAATGCTAAAAATAACTGCTTTATGAACTCTTCTAGCTAACCCAAAAAAGTTTATTTAAACTGTCATAAATAAAATTCAGATGTTCTAAGAAGAAATTTAAAGTATAAATTTCACAGTGTTATTATGAAAGGTTAAATTGATAAATTGAGTGAATACCACTAAATAAATATGCTTTTTTCAAACTGTTGTTTCAGTAGTTACAAGTAAATTTAAATTTTGTTAACAATTAAATAAATTAGATTTAAAAAACTAGCCAAAACTTGACTATATCTGAGAATTGCTTACCTTTGGGTTCATCTTTACTTTAGGAGTTATAATATATATGCAGAATTAGAGACTGTGTTGACGAAGATTTTATTTAAAAAAAAATAAATGCACAATTGAATAGAGTAAATAAATATTTCATAAATTTTATATCTAAAATAATTGTTAATTAATTTATAGAAAATATTATCAAAGAGAAAATTGAATGATTACAATTGCGACGAATATTTTTAAGACTCTATTTCCTCTCGAATTAATCTATAAGGCGAATGCTCTTACCAAGATGATAATTTTTATCAAAATTACTTTGAATTTCTTAAATAAGTTCCAACTCCTTAGTAGATTTTTACAAAATTAGTTTTATATAATTTTAATTTAAATTATTTAAATTTAGATTTAATTAGAATTCATCTGAATTAGTGCGTTAAGCTTTTATAAATTTTCAGGTAGTAAACAAATTTTAGGAGAATCTTCACTTTTTGACATAAAATCCTAAAATTGTTCCTTTTATTATAGAATTATCTAAAGCAAGAGCTAAAATTGATTTCTGTGAAATAGTAAAAGAAGAACATATACAAGTAAAATATTTATTTTAATTAATACAAAGAAAAATAAAATGGCAAAATATTTGAAAATCTTTTTACTTTACCATTCTTAAACATTTAAATGAAAAAGTATTTAGATAATTAATAATTATTAAATGTTTAAAAGGATGTAATAGATTTATTAATTGAAGGATTTTAAGAAATTTCTTAAGAAGCAGAGTTAGTGTTCTAACAAGATGATGAAGAATAGCAACTCATGCAAGAAAATAATGAAGAAGTAACAGGTAGAAAAATTAAGAGATGTGGTAAATAAAAGCAAGTAATGATTTATTTAAATTTTTTGAAGGAGAGAGGGAGTACCTTTAATAGAAGAGAATTAAGACAGTATTTTGAAGAGTGTGGAATTCAAATTACAGGTTGCTTTGATGATTTTATAGATGAATTAAACTATAATGATTACTTGAAATAAATTACACAAACTTAATTTTAGCTTAACTTAGATAAGCTATGAAATTTATCTATCTTATTTATAAGTGAAATAAAACTTCTATTACCAAGTAAATTATTTAATGATTGTTTGTTATATAATGCACACATGTAGTTTAAGTAATTGATAAATTTTATGTAATTAAATATTCTGTAAATTTCTCGATTTTTTTCTTAATAAATTTGGTGTATCTTTTAATTAACTTAATATCGCATAATTTAAAACAAATTAAAAATTAGAACTTGTTGACAAATTAAATCATATAAAAAGCATTAAGCAAATAAATAAATACATAGTAATAAAAAATGCCTAATTTTTAAGAAATTATTGACAAATATAATTCAGATCCTAAATATGATTACATTAAAGACACAATTTAGTTCTTAATGAGCACACTTAGCATTTACAAGTATGAGTTTATTGTGAAATTTATTAAATGATTGATAAATTCATAAATATCAATTTTTTTAATGAGCATTAAATATCAAATAGGGATTCTAAGTAGTTATTTATTACATTCAATGGTGGAAAAGATGCAACAGTAGTTTTATATTTAACATATACTGCAATTTATAAGTAATAAAAAAAATTTAAAGGAGGAGATAGTTTTTTTTAAAATTCATTTTTTCTATTGTAGGCTTAATAAATAAGATGAAAATTAAAAGGAATATTTCCCTCAAAAATCTTTAAAATCAATTTATTTTGAAGAACCAAATCCCTTTAAGGAAGCTGTTGAATTTAAAGAAAATGTAAGGAAAGAACTTGACTTAGAAGAAATAGTTGTTGAAAGAGATTTCAAAAAATCTTTATGGAAAATTGTAACAGAGTAATCTCTTTAAGCTGTCATCATGGGATAAAGAAGAGTTGATCCTTACTGCGGTAATTTCATTTAAACTCAAATATCATAAAATGAGATTAATATTAATTTAATAACTAAACAGAAAAGTTAGAAAAAGTTTCTCCATCAGATACTGATAAAGGTAAATATTTTATCTGAATGATTGATTGAAAAATGCTGTTTAGTAAATTAAGAAATTTTGTTGATTTTTGCGGTAAAATTTCTAATGAAAGAAAGAAAGATATTTATTTAGAAAAATAAAATTAAAAAATTTATTAAAAGATTTTGTATAATAAATTATGAATTTATTTATTTAGGTTATCCTCCATTTTATAGAATTAATCCTATTATTGATTGGTCTTATGAGTAAGTTTGGGAGTTTTTACTTGATTTTAAAATACCATATTGTTCTCTATATGAAAGAGGATTCACCTATCTTGGTAATGCTGACAATACTCATTAGAACTCGCACACTGTTTAACAAGATGGAACAATAATACCTGCTTGGAAAATTAGCGGATCTTATGAGTAAGATAGTAGAGCTGTAAAACCTGAAGATTCAAAATAGCATTTAGAATAATTAGGTGTTATTTTTGCACCTTAAGATAAAATAGAAAACTTAAAATATCACTTAAAAAATAAAAAGTATTTAAATATGGTAACATTTAATACAGATAATGATGTCTTAGATTTAGATAAATGCTTTCTCTAGGTATAAAGCTTCCTCTAAAGTCATTATTTAAAAACAGATATTTTAATTTGCACAAATTACGAAAAAGCAGAATAAATTAAAGAAAAAGCCAACACATTTAACTTATAAATAAATGAAACCTATTTTATTTGAGTTCTTTACATATATCTCTATAATATGCATTTAATATAATATTAAAACATATCAATGTTATTCCTTTTCTTTTTTTAAACTAATGATTTAAAAACTATAAATCAAAAATATTAATAAATAAATAAATAAATAAATCTATTTAGAATTTTCTAATCAATTTGTTTTTAAGGAAAACAAGTTTATAATAGCTATTATTAAAAACATGAAATTCACATATAAATAATGATTGTTTGTTTTATGTAGGAAAGTTGAACTTATATTTTAATTCTAAAATAAAAAAATGATTCCATCAAGGAATTAATTAATTAATGTCTTCATCAAATTCAAAATTGACTAAAAACTCACTTAATGTGTAAATAAAAATAGATTAATTAAAAGCAATAAAATTTAATTTTTAATCATATAAAAGTTAATCAATATAATTAAATAGAATATTGTAAGTATTCATACCTATTGTATAACAACGGTTTTTCATATAATTTTGCATTTTGTTTTTTTTGTTTGGGTTTTTTAATTATTTAATTTTCTTTTTATTTCAATATTTTTATTTATTTATTTGTTTATTTATTTATTTCAAATTAATTAATTAGATATTTTTCAAAATTTTTAATTTTTCAAATTTTTTTATTTTATTAATTTTTTAATTTTTTTTATTTTATTCAAATTTTTTCTTCTTTTTTTTATATTTTTCTAAAGGAGCAGAGCGATACTTGGAGCATTGTCTAGGGTTCCTATTTTATATGGATTAGAGAGCATTTTTATAATTTTATAATTTTTTAAATTAGAAAGAGAACCTAGTGCAGATCTTTACTAATTCATGGATCTAATCAAACAAAATTATTTGTTCACCACAAATTAGGTTGAAATCTGTGAATGAGAATCACATGAGAATTCGTGTAGGGAGAAAAAGAGAACTACATGAATTCAGTTACCTCATTCCTCTTCACTAGAGAAGAACATTAAATATCTTGCATATGCTAAAAAGATGCTTCTAATGTTCAATTCTTTAAAAGAAAATGAACAAGGGTGTTGGAAAATTATATGATTGATTGATTGATTGTCTATGTTTATGGATTATAGTTTAATAAATCGCGAATTTAGGTTAAAAAATAAATATTTTTTAAAAACTTAAAGCATCTTTCGTATAATTTAAGATTTTAAAGTCTTCTAATATAGTTTTTTTATTTATCTTTATTTTTGAGAATTTAAGAATTGTTTTAAATAATAAATAAATTATTGCCAATTTAATTATATTTTGTTTTTTAAATAAAATCTTATTAGAATCTTAATTAAAATTGATAATAAAATAAAATAGGCATGAGTATGAATAGATTAGAGAAATTCAAAATGGAGCATATGCTGGAAAAACCATTAATAAAAAGATAGTATTCTGTCTACAAAGTTTATGAAATGAACTAATCTTATAGTTAAAATTCTGATAACAACTTTTGTATTTGTATGCTTAATGAGTAAAGCAAAGCTAAAATACTTTTTTTATTATCGATTGCAGAAACTAAATAATTTCAGGTCTTATCATACCGAAATTAAAATGTAGAAAATGAAAAACTTAGTTAGATAACAGACATAGTAAAAATTAATGATGATACTGTAGTATGCTCTCATTATGATGGATCCTTGGTTATTTATAAAAATTTTAAAGAAAGAAAATTTAAATATAATGAAGAAGAGTATAAAGAAATAATTCCAGCACAAGTGAAAGATATATCAGATATCAATAATGCTATATTATTTATTTCAGTCTTTAAAAAATAAAATTAATTAATAATAATGCTAGAATATTATGATGGATAAGTAATGGAATTACATTCAAGTTTAAGTAACATTTAATTCGTTCATAAGTAGGTACGTAGAGAAAAATAAAATTTCACTCATAGAAAGTTTTTAAAGGAAGAGTAAGTTCTGTGTGGATTTATTGATTAATCAAAATTTGGTATTATTGAAGCAAGCTAAGATATTTAATTAAAGTTATTAGAAATGAAAACTTATGATATGGATGAAGATACCAAATAACTCTTAAAGATGTCTACCCTTAAATTGATTACTTTTGATACTCATTAACATAATTAAATACTCTATATTGTCTGCATCTATGAAAATTATGATAGGTAGCAAATATTATGCTCTTTTAAGCTCGACAGGACAAACTGTTAACCTCAAAATGAAATAACTCTTAATCTAATAACTAGTTTCACACTAAATGTTGATCTAGGAGAAGCAGTTCAAATAATTTCAATTAATCAAAATCAAAGAAGGTGCTTTTAATATGATGTAATTGTATTATTTTAACATAAATTAATGGCCTATAGTTGGCAAAATGAAATTGATGAAGCCTTAATTATCAAAGATAATGATGAAGAATATAAAATATATCATTTTTAAGTAATTGAAGATATGCCATACCATTTACTTATATCCTAAATCGAAGATAAGTAAAGGATCCAATATTTTTGCACATATATTTGATATGTTGTCCTTGCTAAAACTTGTTATTTCAATAATATTTTGTAAATGCATAAAATAATTAAATTTTAAATTCATTTTATACATATATTAGAGTATATATATATAACTTATTTTCTTTTTCATGATTTTCTTTCATTTTTGCAAATTGTTACTATTAATTTCTCAATAAAAAAATATTTATTTTTTAGTTATTAAATCAATCCTTTTCTGTCTATTTTATGATAATTAATTAATTAAGATGTTAGAATATTTTAAATTCAACCAAAATTAATTTAGTTTAAATGTGTATAATAACAAAAATTTTGTTATCAAGTAAATTTTCATTTACTATTTATTTATTAATACAATCCATTTTTTAACAATATTTATAATAAAAAGTTTTAAATAAAATATATTTATTATATACCTTATCAGAAAATATCACTATTTAAAAATAATCAATAAACACCAAAAATTAGGTGAAAAAAAACAGGTTCAAAACCTGCTTCAAAACCTTTTTTTTATTTATTTTAATTTTTTTTATTTTATATTAAATAATATTTATTATTCTACTAAGTCTATATTTCTAACTCAAGAAATAATTTTCTGAAAATAGCTATAATAAAAATCCATATAATTTCATTTTATATAAACCGATTTTTTTAATTGTCTTATTTTATCTTTTTAATAGAATAACTTTGTTACTTATTTATTATGAATAATTAATTCCATTTAATTTTTAAAATATATTAATGCATAAAATCAATCAGTTCAAATAAATGGTATAATAAAATTCTAAATCCAAATCTTAATTACTTACTTAAATTTCAACAAGTTTTTAATAAATGAGGAAAGAAAATATTTAGCTTAAATTCGTCTCAGTTAAGACAAATAAGAATTAAATATAATACAAAAATAATTAATCTATTTTTATAAATATATTATTTTAATACAATTTTAATGTTTAATGATTTATATTTGACTGTCTGTTTATCTATCTATTAATATGTTTGTCTAAAATCACTCTTTTATAAAACAATTTTATTTTTTTATAGATAATTAAAGTAAAGATTAAAGATTTGACTTAAATTTTCAAAATTAATTAAGTTTCTCATATTTAAGTAAAAAATAAAAATTATATAAATATTAATTAATATCTTAGTTAGAATATTAAGAAGGCAAATTTAAAATAACAAGCAAAAAATAAAATGTAGTCTTATTAAAGTTCTGAAAGACTTAGTATTCAGCTTTAAATTTCTCTGATAAAATATGATAAAATTTTACTAAATGAAGGATTAATAAATGCTTACAATCCAATATATACTATTATTTAAGTAAACTGTAATTAAGAAAATGCTATTTTATAATCTCAAGTATTACCTGATATTATGGACTTAGATTTAATACAAATGACTTATCAAAAGAATGCTTATTTACTTAAATGTAATAATAAAGGTTAAATTCTTTTTTCAGGAAAGCAAATTGATCAAAAGTATTAATTTATTTTTAATGATAAGTTTGAAGTTGCGATTGATAAACTAGCATTTATTTCTGGATAATCATTCTTATTTTTTTTAGACAAGGAAAAAAATGTTTCCACTCTCTAATTCTTAGGATAATCATAATAAAAATATTCAAAATAAATACATTCAAAAGTAGATTTCTTGATTGGTTCTAAGGATTAGAGCTCTGTATTATTAGTTGATGAGTTTAGGAGGTTTATTATTTATGATTAAAGTGTTTTTAAAAATGTAAATTAACTTTCTCCGCTATAATTAGAAATAGATTCTAGCTAAAAATAACTATTATAGGAAGATAATGAAAGGATTTTAAGTTCTATTTAAAGTATTGATTATATCTAGCATGAAGCAGGATATTTTATTTATCTAGCAAGTTAACAGTATCTATACAAACTTAATTATCATAGAGATAATGAGGGAATATAAGTAAATTAAATAATAAGAATTGACTAAAGTAGAGGCAAAGTTTAAAAAATTGTTGCATTAAATTCAAATTAAGGAAAATATTTTGAAGTAGTTGTAGTGCAGTAAAAAAGTGTTGACTAATACTTGTTTACATAAAAATTCAGTACTAAAAATTTATGGAAAAGCAATGATGATAGTGATAAAATTGCATTTGATTACACTTACAAAACCAAAAATAGTACATATTATCATATAATTTAATGTGTTTCCTAACAAGAACTTTATAAAAATAAATAAAACTAGCTAGAATTTAATAAATCTTATGTTTTTGTTACTAAAGATTGATTTTAAATAATACATTATTAATTATTTATTAAATGTATGTATGTATCACTTATTTTTATTAATATAAATAATCAAACATGTTCTCTTAAATTTTATGAATAAATTTATTTTCAAACTCATTCATTTATTTTCAGATATTTTATTACTTACTTTATTAAAATTAATAAGAGAGATTTTAAAAATAATTTTATCATAAAGAATTTATTTTGAGGAGAAAATTTAGAAAGATTTATTTTAATCATTCATTTATTTTCAGATACTTTATTACTTTATTAATATTAATTAAAAAGAAAGAATTTATTTTGAGGAGAAAATTTAGAAACATTTTAATAAAAAAAAATTAATATTTTGCTTTTAATTATTTTTAAACAAAGTTTTTGTTTTAAAGATTAATTTTAAATAATATATTATTAATTAACTATTTATTTATTATTTGTATTATATTATTTGTTTTTATTAACTTTTAAAACATGTCCTCTAAAAATATTATGAATATATTTAAATAAATTTATTTTCAAATTCGTTTATTTTCAGATATTTTATTACTTTATTAATATTAATTAAAAAATTTTTTAAATAATTTAATCATAAAGAATTTTGAGAAGAAAAGTTGGAAAGAACTTAATATAATAAATTAATATTTTGCTTTTAATTATTTTTAAACAATTAATAAGTTTTTGTTATTAAAGATTGATTTTAAATAATATATTATTAATTAATTATTTATTTATTATTTGTATTATTTAATTTATTTTTATTAATTTTTAAACATGTCCTCTTTAAATATTATGATCGTATCTAAATAAATTTATTTTAAAATTCATTTATTTTTAGATATTCTATTACTTTATTAATATTATTAAAAAGATTTTAAAAATAATTTAATAATCATAAATAATTTTTAGAAGAAAAGTTGGAAAGATTTTAATAATAATAAATTCATATTTTTGTTTTTAACAATTTATAAGTTTTTTTTACTAAATATTGATTTTAAAAAATATATTATTCATTACCTATATTATATTATATTATTTGTTTTTATTAATATAAATTTTTATACATGTTCTCTTAAAATTTTATGAATATATTTAAATAATTTATTTTCAAATTAATTTATTTATTTTCAGATATTCTATAAAGACTTTATTAAAATTAATTAAAAAGATTTTTTTTAAAATTAATAATCAAAAGGATTTTGAGAAGAAAAGTTGGAAAGATTTTAACAATAATAAATTCATATTTTTTTTAATTATTTTTTTTATACAGTAAATCAGATATTTAGAATAATAATTAATTAATATGCTAATTTATTTAATTGTTTGATTAATTGCTAAATTAAAAAATAAAATCAAAAGTAAAAGAACATGGAAGTTTAAAGTAAACTCCTCGTAAACGAATAAGGCAGATAAATTAATGGCAGAATATCAGCCGCAATTTAAGAAATAAATAATTTTGGATTAGATAATATTGTATTGTTTTTGTGGAACAGAGAAAGTTTAAAAATAGATGGAAATAATAATAATTAGATATATATAGGTAAAGAATCTTTAGACTACCCTATGCCAGACTCAGAAGTTGTAACAGATATGCTTTTGATTAATTAAAATAAGTATTTAATAGTCTGCCTTAGCGATGGTCAGCTTTTCATAACCAAAAATAATATTTAGTCCTTTCAAAATCAAAATCATATAATCATTTAATAAAAATAAAGTGATTTTTATGATGGTTATTGTAGAATTGCCTTTTTTCAGTATGAAAATTAAAAAGACCGCAAATAGAATAAATACTATTTGCTAGCTGTTGACTATAAAAATAAGATTTCCAAATACTCTTTCTCTTCAATTGAAAACTGTTAAATTACAAATAGGGAAAAGTTAGCGAATTAATACATTTTTGTTTAATATGATTAAATTAATCAAGTCTTTTTAGCTATGGGTAGTGACCTAGCATTATATTGCTTTAAAATGAATGATTTAAATCATAATTTAGAATAATTTTAAATTTAATTTGATAAGGAGGACCTTAAAAATTTAGGCATAATATCTGTAAAAGATTTTATTGCATTTGACTTTCAATATAAAGACGAAAAATATTAAATTTACATTCTTGGAAAATTGATAGGAATATTTAGTGTAAGTATGAATGATGTAGAGGATAACTAAAATAAACTAATTGCGCAAATTACATTTTTATTTGATCCTTTTGAGAATGAAATTTGCAAATTTTGTGATAGAAATTATATATAAATTTTTAGTGACAAAAGAAAAGAAAAATTTGATTCTTAAGAAATTACTGTAATATACGATAAACTTGCTCTTAAATTTTATAACTAAGAAGATCAATTTTTAAAAATTTTTGACTTAAAAGATTTTAATGCTGATAAAAATCTTAAGATTGATAAGTATATTTGTCTTTATGGAAACAGCTAAAATATTTCTTACAATATCTTTAATTGCTCTGATTGTTAAAATATAGAGGATTCATTTAAGTAAATTAGCTGTGACAGAATATTTATCAATAAAGAAAAATGAATTTTAATCAATAATAATTGTAATTATTTAATTAATATTTAAATAATATCAATGTTGTATTTGTATAAATTATATAAAAGTAAATATTAATTTTCCAAATTCTACATAAATGCATATATATATCATTAAATTTTCAAAATCTTATTAGAGAAAAATGTATATTATATCAATTATCATGATCTTTTAAAAATTCTTTATCTTAAGTTGAAAATCAATAAATGATCGAGTATATATTTTTCCTTTTTGATAAATAAATTTCTCTATAAATTTATACTAGAATTATAAATAAAAACAATGTAAATAGTAATTAATTATTCTTTATTTCAATTTTAAATACTGCATGCATTGAAAAATAAAGCTTTTAAAAATATTTTATTGGAATGTTTGGTAGCTTATTTAATTAGTTTAAAAAAACAATTATCCATTTTCTTAAAATTAAACTAAAATAGAATATCTAATATTTTGTTTTGTTTATCTAATTTATTTTGAATTAGAAAAAATATTTCTTTTCTTCATAAAAGTTTTTAAAAATGTATTTTAAAAATCATGAATTTTTAAGCTTTTAAAAAATAATAGATATATTTTAATGGTAAATATTTATTGCTGGTGTGTTTTTTGGTTTTTTATCCATAATTCGAACTGAATTCTTATATTTTAATTATTGTGAATTCTAAATATTTTAAAGAATAATTAAAGCAAAAACTGCAAAATTCTTTAAATTTTAAGCTAACTAACTATGAATTATTTTAAGGTTTAAAAAAATATAATTATTATATTTATTTTCAAAAATTTAAACAACTATTAACATCAAAATTAAATTAATCATGAAACAAAAAATTGTTTTTTTAATCTTTCTTATTTCAAAGTAAAAAGTATTTCAATTTACAAAATCTAATTAGCGAAAAATAAATATTTTATAATCATGATCTTTTTAACTATTAAAAATAGGATAGACTTTTAATTATTTTATCAGAGAGTTTGTTTGTTGAATTTATCCATAATGTAAACTGAATTATAAATTCTTATAATTAAAAATTAAATAAATTTTAAAAAGTATTTTATAACAAAACAACTTAATTGACTGTTTGTCTAACTTATTTTAATTCTGAATTATTTTAAGGTTGAACAAAATATTTAAATTATAAAACTATATTTTCAAAAAAGTTATAACTACTAAGACTGACTACTAATATCAACATAAAAATCAAACTAATTATGAAATAGAATTTCTTTCAATTTGTTTAACCTAATTAATTATTACTTAATTACTTACTTAATTACTTGCCTTTTGATTAATTTGATTAAAATCTCATCTGCTTTCAAAGTTCATGAAATTATTAATAACTTTATTTAAGCTTGAGAAACCGTGCATATTACCTAATTCAATAACATCCTATTTATTTTTGCTACCGTTTTCGCTATGGACTATGCCTAGGTGATATCTTAACATTTACTTTTGCTTCTTATGCAAAAAGCTTGCTATTACCTTAACAGCTTTCTAGTAAGTTTCGTATTTTTTTGTTTTTTCAGTTTCCTTTTGGACTAAAACTTCTTCAATAGGGTCATACAAAAAGTTAATTTAATTGTTTTGGATTAATTTCTTTAAATAGTCCAAAGCTAAATCTTAGTTTAAACCCATGATGTTAACAACCTTTTAGATACTAATTTTTTTATAAGGTAAAAGATATTGCTTGACTAACTTGTCAGTGAGAATTTCAGAAAAGTTGAATTTTTTAAAAATGAAATCCTAATTGTATTCTTAGTAGAATAATTTAAGCTTTGAAATCAAAGTCTTGTAATCTAAGCTTATATAACATTCTAAGATGTTTAAGCATTCATTATCCTAAGTGACAAAGAATCTAATACTATCACTTTTCAATAAATCTTAAACTTGAGATCTTGACAAGCGAGCCAAAGCACAAACAGTGATGAAAACACCTATTATTATAATTTTATAATTAATTTACAAATGTAATTAAGAAATATTTTTTTAAATTGTGAAAATTATTTTAACATGTTCACTGTTTATTTATTTCTCTTTGTTTTTTTTGTTTTTTTACCTATTTCTCTTAAGCTAGTGACAAGAAGCAAATTTTCATCTTCGACTATGCAGTCATGCTATAACTCATCCTTAATAATTTAAAGGAAATCGTTCTAAAATCCTTAGTAGAGGCATCTGAGAGCTTAGAAAACTAATAAAGTGGTGTATTACTCTCTTTTTTTCTTTTCAATAGGGATAGCCTCCTTGGGATATACTTGTTAGAGCTAATCGTATCTTCTTTCTATTATCATTGTAGCACACCATTAAGGGAAGTATGAGTAGATATCACTTTTATTTAATAAGATAAACATTAGAATATGCACAATAAGATCAATTTTGTTTCAATAAGCATATTATTTATGAAGTGAAAAATGATATCTCTACATTAAATTAAATTAAATTTAAAATAAAATACCCAGCTTCATAATATTTATACACTCTTTCGTAAGATCTAAATGCTTCTGTAACATCGCCTGCCTTGAGGTATAGATTACCTAAAATAAAAGATTTTAAACTTAAATTCTAGCTATCTTGCAAATGAGAATGATTTAAATATTAAATTTTAATAAAGTTGTTATTTATTACCTAACTCGATGTAAGACAAACCAGTTGAAAGCTTATTTTAGGAGTTTTTATGCATATTAATTTCTTTATCTAACTTTTCTGCTTGAGCCTAATAAGGGGCGAATTACTAGGCAGCTAATTCTTTGTCAACTCTTAAAGTAGTGATCTTCCAATCAAGAGCAGTACTCTCAACAAATCTATAAATGCTGTAAATTTTAAGTTGCTAAGCTAAAATCAAGGCAGTTTCGAAGGCCTAATTAATGTGAGGAGGCTTAAGCAAAGTAGCTCCCTAGATGATCTTAAAGATCTTAGTAACTCCATTGTATCTATTAGAATATTCAATTAATCCGTCCATATTTCCTTATCTTATTCAATCTTTATACCGAATTTCTTTCTGCTTGCTTTCTTGCTTTTTAGATTTTATTATTAAATGAATGATAAAATGTTTATTGCGAATTATTATCTTTTATTTCTTTAGCAGCAAACAAAATCTTCTCAAATTAATTATTAGTATATAATAACTAACTAAATAACTATCTGTCTGTCTGTATAGATATGTGTATTTCCTTTGATTTTATTTTCTTGCTACTTTCTTTTCTTTCATCCTTAATATCCTTGTCTGATTAATACGATCTTGTATATCTTAGAAATTCTTACCACTTTAATATCATCTTTTATATTCAAAACTGAAGGAAAAATACTATTTAATAGCATCTCAAAGATTATTTACTTTTTGATCAAGTTTCACACTAATTTAATTGCATCTATTTGTTTATTCATATTTGTCTGATACAAATGAGATCAGATAAAATCAAAGGATATCTTTTCAATTTTCTATGAATCTTAAAAATCACTCAAATTTATTTTTTCAATACCTTTAATAAAAAAATTATAAATTAAGAAATATATTTTTTTAATCTCAAAAATCATTTTTATATTTAAACCTAACATATTTTTTTCACAAAATTATTTTAAACTTCTATTTCAATA